ATTTTCTGTTCGCTTTTGTTTTTTCTTTTTTGACGCATTTTTATCATCTTTTTAGTTGCTTTTCTGATTGCATTTTCTTGTCTTTTTTTTCTGTCGTTTTTTTGCTTTTGTGATTACTTTTTTGTCGTTCGTCTCCTTCTGTAGCCTTTTTTCACTTTTTTTTTGTTTTTTCCCTACATCATCTCCCTTTTCACTTCCCAAGCGTAAGCGAAGGAAGTATTGTATTCGAGTCCATCGGACGAATTATTTGATACTCTTTTTGTTAACTTTCTCGTCTTCTTATAGCCATTTTACGCCCTTTTTTTTTGTCGCGTTTTTTTCGATTTTTTTTAACCATTTTTCTCGCTGTGTTTTCGCTTTTTTGTCACTTGTATTTTTCTGTCACTTTTTTATCACCTTTTTGTCCTTCTTCATTTTTATTTCCTTTTTTGTTACTTTCTTCGAATTCTTGTCCCCTTTTCATCGCCTCTTTTTTTTTGTAATTCTCTTTTGTCTTCTTTGTATCGTCCTTCTTTGCCGCCTCGTTTTCCCTTTTTTTATTTTGTAGCATTTTTGTCGTCTCTTGATTTTTTTCGTCCCCCTCTTTTAAGTTTTTTTTTGTTTTTTTTTACATTTTTGTCTCCTTATTGCATTTTTTGTTCGCTTTTGATTTCCCTTTTTTCCCCCTTTTTTGTAGCATTTTTATTATCTTTTTATTTGTGTTTGTGCTTGCTATTTTCTTGTCTTTTTCCCTCTTTATGATCACGTTTTTGTCATTTTTTTATAGCCTTTTTGATAATTTTTTCTATTTCTTATGCCCTTTTTTATCTTGTTTTTTTGTCGCCTTTACATTTTTCTATCAATATTTTTTTATTTCCCATTTTAGTCCTTTTTTTCAAATTTTCGACCCCTTTTATCGCTTTGTTTTCGCGTTTTGTCATATATATTTTACTCCCATTTTTTGTCACTCTTCTGCCCTTCTCCTTCGTTTTTATCGCCTTTTTTTCCTGTTCCTTTTTTAACGTTTTTTTTTTGTCGCCTTGTTTTCGCCTTTTTGTTTTCTACCATTTTTGGCGTCTCTTGATTTGTAGCACTTTTTGTGTCTTTTTCTTCTGCTACTGTTTTCGTGCGCTTTTTTCTGTTTTTTTATCGTCTTTCCTTCGGCTTCTTTGTTATTTATTTTTATCTTTTTTTTTCTTCTCCCCCTCTGCATTTTCTGTTCGCTTTTGTTTTTCCTTTTTTGACGCATTTTTATCATCTTTGTAGTTGTTTTTCTGATTGCATTTTCTTGTCTTTTTTCTGTCGTTTTTTTTTTGCCTTTGTGCCTCCTTTGTGATTATTTTTTGTCGTTCGTCTCCTTCTGTAGCCTTTTTTATCACTTTTTTATTTTTTTTCCTACATCATCTCCCTTTTTACTTCCCGAGCATAAACGAAGGAAGTATTGTAATCGAGTCCATCGGACGAATTATTTGATACTCTTTTTGTTAACTTTCTCGTCTTCTTATAACCATTTTTCGCCCTTTCTTTTTGTCGCGTTTTTTTCCATTTTTTTAACCCTTTTTCTCGCTGCGTTTTCGCGTTTTTTGTCACTTGTATTTTTCTGTCGCTTTTTTATCACCTTTTTGCCCTTCTTCATTTTTATTTCCTTTTTTGTTACTTTTTTGAATTCTTCCCGTTTTCATCGTCTCTTTTTTTGTAATTTTCTTTTGTCTTCTTTGTATCGTCTTTCTTTGCCGCCTTGTTTTCCCTTTTTTTTTATTTTGTAGCATTTTAGTCGCACTTTTTTTTTAAATTGTCTTTTTCACTTTTTTGTCGTTATTTTTGGTCCTCTGTTTATTGCCTACTTTTCTGTCACTTTTATCACCATTTTGTCTCAATGTTTTGCGATTTCTTGTCTCATTTTTCCGCCTTTTTTATACCGCCCTTTTTGTTACCGTTTTCTTGTCCCTTTTTTCAAATTCTTATCGCATTTTTGTCCGCATTTCTTGTTATATTTTCGGACTTTTTTTATCGTCCTTTTTCCCTCTATGTCATCATACTTTACACAATGCACATTTAAGACAGCATTTTTTCGAAAAAATGTTGGGGTGGCGTGATCAATTTTTAGGGAGGGACGAACAAATATATTTTGATCAAAAATTTACCATGCCTATGAAAACTTTAAAACATCTCCAAGATTTCAAAGCATTCGGTTTTGTGGTTCCTGATTAAATCAATAAAATATATTCACGCATTCATTAATTTTTTTGAGTCACCCTGTATATGCAATTCCAAAAAATATGAATGGAATGATAAATTACAAGTACAGACTCATCATATTTTCTACATTTTAGATAGGATTTATTCGAGGTGACGTCATCAATTTTTTAAAGTAAAATTTATTTTAACATCATTCTTAGTTCTCAACTCTAAAAAAAAATGTCCCTAACTTTGAATGAAAACAAATTAAACGTTCTGAATCAATGCAATAGTTGAATATCACAAATTTAATAAAAACAAAGAAAAATCTGAATTAAAGTAACTGGATGCAAATACACAAGTTATTACGGACGTGTGGCGGCAAATTTAAATTATGGCAGTCAACAAATGAACAAAATTTTAATAATAAACTCTATATATAATTTCATTCTAGAACACAGTAAACTTACCATAAGGGGCGTTGTAACACGAGCGGAGTTTGGGGCTCCTGGTTGTGGCTGTTGTCCCACCACGACGGTGATTCTATTCTATCGGCAAGCACTGCCGTACAGTACCCCTCTACCCTCTATCACGAAGGGACGTGTCGTACAAGCACGCCGTTACGGTCGCAAACTCGTGGTTGGAAATCCCGCCCCCGACTTCTATTCAAGACTTGCGTCCTTTTGTGCAGATGGCGCGACCGCCAGCTCGACCAGGAACCGCGCACTCCGCTTCCGCTACGTATTTCTGTGTTATTTACCTCAATTCCGTTTATTAAATGTTTAATTTCTATAACTCTGGTATTAAACAACGACCGAACGAGTGTTACAGTTTCAAAAGAGCAATAAATAACATTTAAATTCGCCATACACTCCCGCGAAATTTTAAACAGCAAAGAATTCTTATCTGGGATTAAGACTGGACATGGTAAAAATAACTAGCAAAGATTTGTAGAAACAAAAAAAGATCTGGTGTGAAGTAAAACTTTTGCAGACCAAAAATTACGTGAGGTTAGGAACTGCAGAGCATGAAAGTTTACGTTCAATTTAAATTATACAGCAAAGAAAATTACTGAGGCTACAATTGTGAGATAGATTCAAATAAAAATTTATATGAGAATTTATTTTTCGATTTTTCAAATTTTACATTTGCATTGTTCTTTAATTGTATTAGTCTAATTTGACCACAAAACAATTTCGTGTGACGTATTGCACGAATCAGGGCACGTTTTTGAGTCCACACATGGAGTTTTGAATAAAATTCGGTCTCTTTAAAATATGACTAAAACTAGGACGCGATCTTTGTTACTTTCAAATGATTGGCAACAAAAAAGTAACCATTGGAATATAATTCGCCCCGATCGATAGTCATTCGTGAACGTACCTCAAATGACATTTGTTTATTTAGGTTATGTTTGCAATTTTCACCGATGATTTTCCTCTGAATTATTGGGTAAGACAATCGATTTCGCATTCACAAGTGAATAAAAGTTTCCAAATTCAGGTTCGACATGATGGCCGCTCTGGAATCTTCCGAAAATGATCCCCGCATGGGTTTGTTGTCCAACAAGGTCCACAACTGCAAAAATTGCCCATTCTCCTCCACGTCGCTGTTCCGAATGGTAAACCACGTGAGAACCCACCGTTCCCCGTTAACCCACTTCAACTGCGAAAAATCCAACGTTGATTTGTACTTTTGCAAAGATTGCAACTTCCAAACTGACCTAACCTTACTAATGAAAAAACACATCGAAAACTACCACGCCCCCCATCCACAAAACGCCACCAACTCGCTAGAAGAAGACGAAATTCAGAGCTACATTTGCAAAAAATGCGGTTTTGAAACGTATTTTTTGTTGAAATGGCTGCAACACGCCCAAATGTGCCCAGGACCTAAAAAAAAGCTGCAATTCAGTTACACTGACACAATGAGGTGGGGGCAATACAAAAACTGGTCATTCAAGAGTCCCAGCATGATAAAAACGGAAAAATGCGACAATGACGTTTTTACAGAAATCAAGGATTTGAATGAAGACAGTGTGAAATGGCGCGAATGCAACCACTGTTCATTCAGGACACTGAGAAAGTATGCTTTGAAAAGACATATGGTTAATATTCATTTCAGTGAAGATCACACTGAATGGCATCACTGCGATCAGTGTCCGTTTAAAGCCAAATTTCACTACAGGTTGAACAGACACATACGCACGCGACATTTAAAGAACACAGAGAAAGCGAATTTCACTTGGTACAAATGTGCGCATTGTCGATTGAAAACGGCTTCGTTGGAATTTTTAAATACACATGTTAGTGAAAAACACAAAAAAGCAGACGCGGAGTATCAGTGTGAGCAATGTTCCTACAAAGCGACGCGAAAAGATCTTCTGACACGACACACCAGGAACGTGCACCACCGCGACCAGATTAACCAGTTTCAATGTGACCAATGTCCATACAAAGCGACAAGAAAAGATTATCTGAAACGTCATATAGTGAAGATTCACAAACCCGATCAAGTTAGGTTTGAGCAACACGTGCTTGGACATCATCTTTTTGAAGGAAATATGGCTTACAAGTGTGGTCTTTGCAATTTTCAAAGTTCTACCCAGGAGTTAGGTAAACATATACTTGAAAGGCATGTGAATTCAGGAAAGTAATGTATCTTATAAATTTTTTCAATGGGTTTCTAGGAGAATTTGTGCAGTTATGTATAAGTGGCGTACATTTTGGCATATTTTACTAATAGATTAATCACAACTTTTATTCACTTGTGACTAAAATTTATTTATTTATTCCTTCCCCAAACACAAAAGAATGACAGCTAGCATTTCATTCGTGAACGTACCCCAAGTGACATTAGTTTATTTAGGTTATGTTCAGAATTTTAGCGGTTTTTTCACTGAATTATTGGGTAAGACAATCGATTTCGCACTAATAACTAAACAAAAGTTAATAAATACAGGTCGGACCAAATGGCTGCTTTGGAATATTCCGAAAATTACGCCCGCATGGGTGTATTCACCAACAAGGTTCACAATTGCAAAATTTGTCCGTTCTTTTCCACATCACTGTTCCTAATAGTAAACCACGTGAGAAGCCACCGTTCACCGTTAACTCATTTCAGCTGCGAAAAATCCAACATTGAAGTATACTTTTGCAAGGACTGCAACTTCCAGACCGACCTAACGTTACTTATGAGAAAACACATCGAAAAATACCACAGCCCTCACACACAAAACGTATGCAACTCGCAAGAGGAACAGAAAATTTGGAGTTATTTTTGCGAACAATGTGATTTTGAAACGTATTTTTTATTGACGTGGGTGCAACATAGTCGGGTGTGCCCAGGACCCAAAAAAAAATTGCAATTCAGTTGCGCAGTTGCACAAACCACCCATTCTGGAGTGGATGGTTTGTGTCCAGTTTCAAAAACTAACGCAAAACCAGAAATAGGTTGGTATCAATGCAAAAACCCAAAGTCATAAAAACACTAATATATTTACAGAAATCAAGGAGACACACCCGGATTTAAGTGAAGATTGTATTGTAAAATGTTATAAATGCAACAAGTGTTTGTTCAAGACATTCAGCAAGGTTCATTTGAAAAAACACATGGTTACCACCCATACCAGTGAAAATCATACTGAATGGCATCGGTGTGACAAGTGTCCATTCAAAGCCGAATTTTTGGACTTTTTAAATAGACATATAAGTGAAAAACACAAAATTAAAGCAGACGCAATATGTAAGTGTGTCCAATGTTCATACACAACTACACAACAAAATAATTTGATTAGTCACATCATGAACGTGCACCAACGCAACCAGATTACGCAATTTCAGTGCTACCACTGTTCATACAAAGTAACTAGAAAGCATCTTCTGATACGTCACATTGTGCGGTTGCACCGAGGGTTGCGCCAACGCGACCAGAGGACGAAGTTTCAGTGTTACCAATGTCTGTACAAAACAACAAGAAAAGGTAGTTTGAGGAATCACCTCAGGAACAGGCACTAACGCGACCAGATTAAGCAATTGCATAGTTACCAATGTCCGTACAAAGCAACAAAAAACTCCCGAAGTACAGACAATAAAAAAAATACAAATATAGATTTTAGTTGTTAAACCATAGGTCATATTCCAAAGAGTGCCTTCCCTAACGTCTTCCAATAGTGCTAGCATCTGATAAACGACGAATTCTAATGACACAAGTGACCTTGAGGTAACAATTTTATTTAAATTGTATTAGCCATTTCGTGTTAAGTTTTACATAAACCAGTGGACATTTGAATAAATAATTAATGAAAATGTTTAAATATGTTGCTAACCTGACAAAAAAATCCTAATCGTTAATAGTCACTCGCGCCAAGGTTATGAGTGCAAAAAATGTATTTAAAGTCGCGATCTTTTCTATAGAACCACTCCCTAGTGTAAATTTTCAAAATTTGTTTGGTGTAAGTGACCTTGACGGGTTTCTGGGGGAAAACATATGTGTCAAAAATTTGACAGGTTAGATGGCCTCATTGTCAATGTGGATATTTTATTTTAATAAATAGATGAACAGAACATACAGTCTGCACGGGATACAGTGCAACATAGCTGAGGGCAACCGAAACATTCGTGTTGTGCTAGTTTCGGTTGCCATATCAACTACCGCTACCAACCGCGTTCGGCGTAAAGTACTAGATGACAGGGCTATCAACTTGACTTTTTATCGAGTGGTTCCGTAGAAATGACCGCTACTGTACAGCACATCATCAACGGGAACACATTACATCGGAATAATGTCACGTAGTGCTTTCGGAGATTATCTCTCTAATAAAAATCCGGGACAGCAGACAGACGGAAACGGGAGACCTATTTCTTCGTCCTTAGGGGTCATGATAGTTCGAAAACATGCAAAAGTTACAATACTTCTTTTGCTTACGCTCGGGAAGTAATAAAAGTAAAATTTATTTTAACATCATTCTTAGTTCTCAGCTCTAAAAAAAAATGTGCCTAACTTTGAATGAAACGAATTAAGTGCTTGCTGTCCGTCAAAAACGAGTATACAATAAAAAATATGTTTGGAGCGGGCACTGGAATTTTTATTTGCCGCTTATTTATGACAGAGAGATAATAGACAGCAATGGCTAGATGTTATATACATTAATCAAGTTACAATGGTAAAAAACAAAGGCATTACTGTTATTATATTTTAGAATAATTTTCAATTATGACATTTCAATGAAATAAAAAATATCTAAACTGTTAAATACACAACAGTTTTTTGCGATGAGTGATAAAAAAAAACATGGCGGAAGACCAAGAATTAATGGTGGGTGGGATTAAGTTATATGTTTTTCTGTATGGTGACTTTTTTGTTGTGTTATTTGTTATAAGATTTATTTTTTATTTCAGAAGAAAAAAAATGAGGGAACGGGTGGGTGGGCGGGGCTAAGTTTATTTTTTCACTAGAGAGTTTTATAGGCAAGCAACAGCCCCGCCCACCCTCACCCATTTTATTCCAGTTACTACTCTTAATATTGTTCAGTCTTATCGTTGCAAGTACTAGCCCCACCCACCCACCCTCTGTTTTCTTGAAGGTATGTGACTTGCCAAAATCAGTCGTATCTTAACAAGTACTAGCCCCGCCCACTCTCCCTTTTCTCATTCTAGCGACTAATTTTATGTCTGTAAAAGATCCACCTTTCATTCAGAGCAGATGAAACTAATCACCGAAATGGAGACGGGTGGGTGGGCGGGGTTAGTTATATGTTCTTCTGTAAAGGGAAAGTAATGAATTCTAAGAGAGAACAGGGAAAAGAGAAAGTGGGGGTGCGGCGTAGAAGTCAAGTTGAAGGGCACATAGAGAAGAATAGATATGGAGAGCAAGGGACAAAAAGATAGAGTAAGTAGCACAAAGAAAGAAGTAAGAAGAGAAGAAACAAAAAGAAGGGAAACGAACCAGTGAAAGCGGAAAAGATGGCAAGAAAAAGGGGAAAGAGAAGGAGAAAGAGAGATAAAATGTAGAGAAAACAAGGCAGAAAGAGAAGATAATAGGGCGAAGAGAGGAGTAACAGGATGGAGAAAAACAGTGAAAAAAGAAAACAAAAGGAAAAATAACGAACAAACGCGGAAAAGAACAGAGAAATAGAGAAAGCCGAGAGAATGTAAATAAAAAAGAGAGGAAAGAGTGTGAAAGAGCTAGCCAGAAAATATAGAGAGGTGGGAAAACTAGAGAAGAGGTGGGGGTATGGGAGAGAAATTGACAAAACTGTACATAGAAAATGGTGGAGAGGTATAGAATGAAAGGGGTAGAAAGAAAGAGTAAGTAGGGGCAAGAGAAGAGTAGAAGGAGGAGAAACGAAGAGAACGAAAAAAACAGGAAATGGGAATAGAAAGAAAAAATAAGAAGGGGTAAGTGAGGAGTAACAAGAAGATTACGAAGAACTGGCAAAGATAGCGAAAAGGAGAATGGAAGAAAGCGGATAGAAAGAGGACGGAAAACTGAAGTAACGGAAGTAAAAACAGAGATTGGGCAGGGAGAGAAAAAGAACAGTGAATAAGAGAACAAAAGAAAAAAAACGGAAAAGAAGAGACAAAGAGAGAGGTGAAGAAAAGAGAAAGCTGGGGAGTATAGAGGGACAAATGAGGAAGGAAATAGTGAGGGAAGAGGGGAAAAAGTGGGGAGACAAATTGAGAGAACGTCACATATGCAAGCGTAACGACTTATATGACGGCGCAAAAAGAAAGGGTTAAAGTAGGGAGAAGAGACGAATAACAGGAGGAGAAACAAAGAGAAGGGAAAAAGAACCTTAAAAGCGAAAAAAGATGGGAGGAAGATAGGGAAAGAGACGAGAAGAAGAGCGAGAGATGAAAGCTACAAAAGAAGGAACAGAAAGAGCAAATAAGAATGAGGCAGGGAGGACTAATAGGAGGAAACGCAAGAAGTATTAGCAAAGAGAGCGAAGAAATTAAAAAAAGGGGAAAACAGCAGTAGCTAACAGGGAAAAACAGAACGGACACGAGAGAAGTGGATAAGAAAAGAGTGAAAAGAGAACAGAAGAGAAAAGACGAAAATAGGGGATGAAAAGAGAGAAAGCCAGTGAAGAAGGAAAGAGGAGCAAAAGTGGGAAAGGAAGCCAGAAGATATAGAAAGAAAAAATTGAGACAACACAGCGAGGTATAGAGAGAAGGGATAGAAAGAGAGTAAATAAGGGGAAGAGAGAAGTAAAAGAAGTATTGGCAAAGAGAGAGAAGGAAAGAAAAGGACGAAAAATTAGAGAAAAAGAGACGAATCAGAAAAATGGGAAAAGAGGAGTAACGGGGGAAAAGCACAACGGGCTCGAGAAAAGTGGACAAGAAAAGAGTGAAAAAAGAACAAAAAGAGAAACAATCGAAAATCGTGATCCGAGACCACAAAGACCCTACATTGTTGGTCAACTTTTTCAAAATCTCAAAATTTCTAATCGTAACTTTTTTTGTTGCACTATTATTGCTACAAGATTTATTTATGTTCAGTCTTATCGTTGCAAGTACTAGTTGAATATCACAAATTTAGTAAAAACAAAGAAAAATCTGAACTAAAGTAACTGGATGCAAATACACAAGTTACTACGGACGTGTGGCGGCAAATTTAAATTATGGCAGTCAACAAATGAACAAAATTTTAATAACAAACTCTATACACAATTTCATTCTAGAACACAGCAAAATTACCCATAAGGGGCGTTGTAACACGAGCGGAGTTTGGGGCTCCTGGTTGTGGCCGTTGTCCCACCACGACGGTGATTCTATTCTATCGGCAAGCACTGCCGTACAGTACCCCTCTACCCTCTATCACGAAGAAACGTGTCGTACGAGCAGGCCGTTACGGTCGCAAACTCGTGGTTGGAAATCCCGCCCGCGACTTCTATTCAAGACTTGCGTCCTTTTGTGCAGATGGCGCGGCCGCCAGCTCGACCAGGAACCGCGCACTCCGCTTCCGCTACGTATTTCTGTGTTATTTACCTCAGTTCCATTTATTAAATGTTTAATTTCTATAACTCTGATGTTAAACTGCGACCGAACAAATGTTACAGTTTCTAAAGAGCAGTAAACAACATTTAAATTCGCCATACACTCCCGCGCAATTTTAAACAGCAAAGAATTCTTATCTGAGATTAAGATTGGACATGGTAGATTCAAATAAAAATTTACATTTTACCATCTACGTGATATACCTAATATAAACACAAAATTTGACAACAATCGGTCCAGTACTTTCGGAAATTATCTGTCTAATAAAAATGCGGGACGGCAGACAGACGGAAACGGGAGACCTGTTTCTTCGTCCTCTAGGGGTTATGATACGCTTGTGAAGTAAAAATAATCACACTCACTTAATACGTAGTTGATAATTCTATAAGACGTTGTAAGCGTTCAAAGTTGTGGTTGTAGACATTGGGGCTCCGTCAGAGAAACATAACCTCACAAATTCAAACCAGTTACAAAATTGCAGGTGTTCAATTGAAAAATCACTCAGAGTAGGCATTATAACGTCATTTAACACAAACATAATGTCTGTTCTAACAACATATAGCATATAACAGATTATGTGTCTGCTAAATGAAGAATTTTACATTATGTTACCCCAACAAAACACGTGATAAATAAACACAAAATCCGTCCTGCGTTATGATAATAACTGCCCAAGGAGAAAAAATTAATCTCTCAGTCCACGATATCGTGAATTCTGCCTCGCTTTTCACGGTCTTTTCCCAGAGTGGGCCAACGTTAGGTTAATGACTGTTAAATTGTGTTAGAAGCACTTAACGATTAAAATCCTAACATGAACTGTGAATTTACAACCAATGAATGACGAATTCGGTTGAATATTTAATAAAAAGTCGTCCTCTGGGTTGCGACGGTAAAATTTTGGTGAAAATTTTAGGGAGAGCCACCCCCGATTTATTAATGAAGAAAAGAGTTCGTGGCAAAACGAAAGACTTCCATAGATATTTTAATAGACTTGTTTTGTGTGTTTCCTCAGCAATGAGTTAAAACCATAGCGTGGATGACCTATGACACGAAGGGATGTGGACACATACTTTTATTAAATGTATTTTTGTATTTATTTCCGTCACACAGTGTCGACAACTCATCAATTAAATTGTATGTATGTATGTATGTAACTGTTTATTTCTTTCCCATTCGGGACTTGAAAGAAGTCCGGTTTACATTTTTCCCTTAATATATCTATATATGTACAAATATATATCAATTAAACATATTTTAACTTAAACTAATATTCTTTCTCGAAATGCTTCCTTATTTTCGTTTCTTTTCTAATATCATTTTCATCCATTCCAGACCATCACCTGTTTCGTTCAATAGCTCATTCCTATCTTTCTCGACTTCCCGTAACTCTTCACAATCCTTTAGCCAGTGTTCAATCGTCTCCGGAAATTCCCTACATAATCCGCATCTTCTATCCTCTTCCTCTTTCCAGTAACAGTTTTCTCCTTCTTCATTTCCCACCCTAAATCTGGCTATTGTCTTTCTGTCTTCATTCTTTCTCCCTCTTATTAGATACTCCGGTAATTTTAGACCTCCTATTATTTCTCCATATTTTGGATTATATCTGGACTCTGCTATTTTTTTCCTTTGCTCTTTTCTTTGTAACTCTTCATCTAGATTTAAAATTTCCTTCCTGGGCTCTGCTCCCTCTATCCTTTTTCTCTCTACTTCTTCTGCCGTTAGACCTCTTACTTCGTAAAATTCTCTTCTTTCTTCCGCTGTCTTCTTATAATTTACCCTTATCTCTTCCCACATTTCTTTCATTATTTTGCATTCAACGTTCTGCCTGATCTTCTCTTCAAATTTCATTGCCCTTCGTGCTGCTTCTATTCTTAGTTTTTCTCTCTTCGTTTCCTCTAATACAATGTACTCTGGTGTCTCTTTTTCCAACCCTAACGTCCATTTCAAATACTTTGCCTGTACTCGTTCTAGACTCTCCCTTTCCTTCCATCCCCAGATTTCAGCACCGTACATAATAACACTTTTTATTAAGCTGTCGAAGAGCCATATTCTTCTAACGAAATCGTTCTTCAACCTTCTCTCTGCCAGTCCCCATACCGCCTTCAACAATCTATTTGCCTTCTTTACTGTATTTTCCAAATGTTGGGTTCTTCTTCCATTTCTTTGAAATGTATACCCTAAATATTTAAACGTCGCTACTTCTTCTATCGTCTTTTCTTCCCATTGCCAAACCTCTTTCTTACTTCTCCCTACCGCCTTTCTGAAAACCATCATTTTCGTTTTTTCTACATTCATTTGCAGTTCTCTCCTTCTTACAAATGTTTGTAGGGTTTTCATCATCTCTCTTATTTCTTTACCCGTTTTTGCCAGTAGGACGATATCGTCTGCATACTGTAGTGACCAGATTTTTGTTTTCCCTAAAGTGACCCCTCCCATCTGTGCCTTCCTAAGATTTTCTTCTAATTTTGCTATATACAAGGAAAAGAGCGTTGGACTTAATGGACATCCTTGCCTAACTCCTTTCTTCGTCCAGAAATTCATCGACGTTTCTCCATTAACTCTGATTCTATTTTCTGTCTCTCTGTAGATTTCTCTAATTCTCTCTATTAGTGTTTTACTGATGCCCATGTCTTTCATTATCTGCCATAGTCTTTCCCTATTAACCATATCAAAAGCCGCTTTCAAATCTACAAAGAGCGCGTATACCTTTCCTCCTTTTTCGTTTAATTCCCTCCTTACTATGTGATCCAGGGTCGCTATGCATTCGATTGTTCCTCTTCCCTTTCTAAATCCCATTTGCACCTCTGGTAGCAGTTGTTTTTCCTCTATATCCCTTTCCAACTTATGTTGTAAAAGGAACTGTAGATCTTGTAAGTTGTATTCAACAACGTAATTCCTCTATAGTTTTCTACTTTTTCTCTGTTTCCTTTCTTGTGCAGGGGACTGATTAACCCCACTCTCCATTCTTCTGGTAACCCTTCTCCTTTCCAGATCTTATCTAACATTTTCGTGAGTCCCTCAACTATATTCTCTGTTGCGTAAATCCAGTGTTCGTTCTGAATGCCGTCTATTCCTGCAGCTTTTCCTTTCTTCATTTTCCCTATTACTCTTATCACCTCTTCCTTCCCTATTTCTTCCCTTTCTTCTATTGTGCCTGTTTCCTGTCTATTTACTTCTGTCTTCTGTTCTTCGTTAGTTTCTGCGCCTTCTAAAATTCTTATAAAATATTCCCGCCATTCTTCTATCTTGATGTTCTTACTTGGTCCCGTTTTTATCTTCCTTTCTTGGTTTATATATTTCCATGCTTCCGCTTCCGTTCTTATATCCTTTAATTTCTGGTCTTCTTCATCCTGTTTCTTTGCTTTCTTCTCTTTTATTAATTTCTTATAGTCCTTAATTTCTTTTCTATATTCCTTTTCATTACCTCTGTTCTTTAGCCATCGTCTCAATTTCCTTCTTACTTCTATTTTCTTCTGCCAGCATTCTTCGTCCCACCATGAAATTCCCCTCTTTTCTATTCCTCCCATTTTGATAACCTTCTTACGAGATGCCTTCCCCATCTCTACTTTTAGTTTTCTGGCCATCTCTTCCACTGTTCCTCCTCCTGTATTGTACTCTCTCAGTTTTCTTCTATATTCTTCAATCGACTTCTCATTCCATTCGTATATCTCTTTTTCTCTTCTGTTCTCTAACTCTTCCTTCTTAGTCTTTTCCACCTGTGTAATTGTTGGTAGGTGATCTGAGTCGCTCCTTATTCCAACCTCCATATCTCTGATGCCATGGTCCGCTATTTCATTACAGATAACATAATCTATAACTGATCTCCCTTGCCCCCCTATATATGTGTATTCACCCTCTTTGTCACCTTCTGTATTCCCATTCAGTATTTTCCATCCCTTTTCCTCTACCAACTCCAACAGTTTCTTTCCTTCTTTGTTCTCTGTTCGGTCTTTTGATTTCCTTTTTCCCTCATCCTTTTCCTTGTCCCACTCCCATTCAGCTCCCTTGTTTCCAATTCTAGCATTGAAATCCCCGCCTACCACCAAGCAATATTTTTCATCTATTTCATAATTTATTTCATCTAAATCTCTACTGGTCTTTTTTACGTTCTGACTGTATACTGTCATTATCCTCCAACTATTGTCCCCTATTTTAATTCTTCTCTCTTGTATTCCTTCAACTGATTTAATTCTCTCTTCCTCTATTTCTTCTACATCTTCCTTAATGCCTGTTATTATTCCACCCTTTGCTATGCGGGACGGCAGACAGACGGAAACGGGAGACCTGTTTCTTCGTCCTCTAGGGGTTATGATACGCTTGTGAAGTAAAAATAATCACACTCACTTAATACGTAGTTGATAATTCTATAAGACGTTGTAAGCGTTCAAAGTTGTGGTTGTAGACATTGGGGCTCCGTCAGAGAAACATAACCTCACAAATTCAAACCAGTTACAAAATTGCAGGTGTTCAATTGAAAAATCACTCAGAGTAGGCATTATAACGTCATTTAACACAAACATAATGTCTGTTCTAACAACATATAGCATATAACAGATTATGTGTCTGCTAAATGAAGAATTTTACATTATGTTACCCCAACAAAACACGTGATAAATAAACACAAAATCCGTCCTGCGTTATGATAATAACTGCCCAAGGAGAAAAAATTAATCTCTCAGTCCACGATATCGTGAATTCTGCCTCGCTTTTCACGGTCTTTTCCCAGAGTGGGCCAACGTTAGGTTAATGACTGTTAAATTGTGTTAGAAGCACTTAACGATTAAAATCCTAACATGAACTGTGAATTTACAACCAATGAATGACGAATTCGGTTGAATATTTAATAAAAAGTCGTCCTCTGGGTTGCGACGGTAAAATTTTGGTGAAAATTTTAGGGAGAGCCACCCCCGATTTATTAATGAAGAAAAGAGTTCGTGGCAAAACGAAAGACTTCCATAGATATTTTAATAGACTTGTTTTGTGTGTTTCCTCAGCAATGAGTTAAAACCATAGCGTGGATGACCTATGACACGAAGGGATGTGGACACATACTTTTATTAAATGTATTTTTGTATTTATTTCCGTCACACAGTGTCGACAACTCATCAATTAAATTGTATCCTCCCATTTCAAAAGTCACGAGCCGCCACTGAGTGTTATAAAAATTACTACTGTGACTTTGTGGTCTCCAATTTTGAATTAAAATTTCGCGCTGGAAACTCAGTGGAATAACAATCGTGAACGTACCCCAAATGACATTTGTATGTTAAGGTTATGTTTAGAATTTTCACCGATGATTTTATGCTGAGTTATTAGGTAAGACAATCGATTTCACTTTCATAAGTAAGTAAAAGTTAATAAATTCAGGTCGGACAAAATGGCCGTTGTGGAATATTCCGAAAATTATGCCCGCATGGGTTCGTTCTCCAACAAGGTCCACAATTGCAAAATTTGCTCATTCTTCTCCACATCGCTGTTCCGAATGGTAAACCACGTGAGAACCCACCGTTCACCGTTAACCCACTTCAACTGCGAAAAATCCAACGTTGAATTATACTTTTGCAAGGATTGCAACTTCCAAACTGACCTAACCTTACTTATGAAAAAACACATCGAAAAATACCACAGCTCTCATCCACGAAACGCAAACAACTTGCAAGAGGACGAAATTCAAAGTTATATTTGTAAGCAATGTAGTTTTGAAACACATTTTTTGTTGAAATGGCTGCAACATGTTGAAATGTGCCCAGAACCCAAAAATGGGTTGCAATTCATTTGCACAAATAATACAAAACCAGAAATAAGTTGGTATCAATACAAAAACTGTTCAGACAGAAAGGATACTTTGAAACGACATATGGTTAATATCCATTTAAGTGAAAATCATTCTGACTGGCATCAATGTGACAAGTGTCCATTCAAAGCCAAATTTCACTATGGGTTAAATAGACACATACATAGGCGACATTTAAAAAGCACAGAGAAAGCGAATTTCACTTGGTACAAATGTGCTCACTGTCAATTAAAAACAGTTTCCTTGGACTTTTTAAATCAGCATGTCAGTGAAAAACACACTAGAGCAGACGCTGAATATAAGTGTGAGCACTGTCCCTACAAAACAACAAGAACAAATTTTCTGACACGTCACATCATGAACGTGCACCAACGCGACCAGCTTAAGCAGTTTCAATGTGACCAATGCTCATACAAAGCAACCAGAAAAGATCATCTGAAACGTCACACAGTGAACATGCACAAACCTGACGAGAAGAAGTGGTTGCAGTGTGACTATTGTCCATACAAATCAACAAGAAATGATCATCTGAAACGTCATATAGCGAACATGCACGAACCCGACGGGAACAAGTGGTTTCAGTGTGACCAATGTTCATACAGAACAACAAGAAATGATCATCTGTTTCGTCACACCATGAAGATTAAGCACTTTCAGTGTAACCAATGTTTCTACAAAACAACACGAAAACATCATCTGACACGTCACACCATGAAGATGCACCAAGGTGATCATACTAAGCAGTTTCACTGTGACCATTGTTCGTACAAATCAACAAAAAAAGGCCATTTGATTCTTCACATCATGAACGTGCACCAACTCGGCCAGATTAAACAGTTTCAGTGTGAGCAATGTTCGTACCAAACCACGCAAAAACATAATATGACACGTCATAGCATGAACGTGCACCAACGCGACCAAATTAAGTGGTTTCAGTGTGACCAGTGTTCGTACAAATCAACAAGAAATGATCATCTGAAAAGTCACACATTGAAGATGCACGAACCCGACCGGAACAAGCAACTTTAATGTGATCGTTCGCGGAGTGGCTACGCACTAGATTGAGGAGGAATATATCCAAATTTACATAAGGTTGTGTACTGTTATTTATTGTAAAATTGTGACTTTTGAAACAATGAAGAATACAAAAATTTTAAAATGAAAAATCGGTAATTGAAAATCTGGAAAAACGAAAAAATAAAAAATCCCGAAATTGAAACATCAGAAAATCGAAAAACAAAAAAATTTCCAATTTTTCAATTTTAATGTTTTCAAGTTCTTGATTTCCAATTTCAATCAAAATAAAATTTTGCAAAATCGAATAACTGTAACAACGAAACATTAAAAAATATAACAATTAAAAATCGAGAAATTGAAAAATCCACAAAACGCAAATTTTCGATATATTTTTCAAATTCTCGATTTTTCATTTTTTAATTGTTCAATAAAAGGGCAAATTTAATCAAACTGAACTTTTGGAAAACCGGAAAATTGTAACACTGAAACATCAAAAAACAAAATAATTAAAAATCGAGAAATTGAAAAATTTAACACAAAGAAACGATTTTGCAGTTTTTCGATATAAAATTTTTGAAATTCTCGATTTTTAATTTTTCATTTTCTCGATTTTTCATTATTTAGTTGTTCAACAAAGGACAAATTTATTTAAACTGAAATTTTGAATTGAATTGAAAAATCAAAAAATTGAGAAATCGAAGAATTGAAAAAAATAAAGAAAACTTGAAAAAACCGAAAAAATGAGACTTGAAATATCGAAAAATTTAAAAATTTGAAAAATCGAAAAAAGAAAAAATAGAGAAATTGAACAATGGCATAATTGAAAAAACAACTGAAAAATCGAAAAATTGTAATATTGAAACCTGAAAACCCTAATTAATTAAAAATCGAGAAAGTGAAAAATTGAAAAAACGAAAAACAAAAACTTCTATAAATTAAACAGTCAAAAATACAAAAAAAGTAATTTCAAAATTCAAAAATTTTACAATGAAAACCGGAAATCTAAAAAATTAAGAAACTGTAAAAACGAAACATGGAAAAGTTAAAAAATTGTAACATCGAAAAAACGAAACACTGAAAAATCAAAAAATTTAAAAATTGAGAAGTCGAAGAATTGAAAAAATCAAGAAAACTTGAAAAACCCGAAAAAATGAGATTAAACAATTGAAAAATGAAACTTGAAATATCGAAAAATTTTAAAATTGAAAAATCGAAAAGGGAAAAATGAGAAATTAAACGAGTGGATAATTGAAAAAACAATTGAAAAATCGAAAAATTGTAATTTGGAAACCAGAAAACACTGATTAATTAAAAATCGAGAAATTGAAAAATTGAAAAAATGAAAAACAAAAATTTCTATAAATTAAATTATCAAAAATACAACAAATTTTAATTTCAAAATCCAAATATTTAAAAATGAAAGTTGAAAAATCGAAAATTGTAATATTGGAACCTCAACACCCTGAAAAAATGAGACTTGAAATATCGAAAAATTTAAAAATTTTGAAAATCGAAAAATGAAAAAATTGAGAAATTGAACAATGGCATAATTGAAAAAACAACTGAAAAATCGAAAACTTGTACTATTGAAACCTGAAAACCCCGATTAATTAAAAATCGAGAAAGTGAAAAATTGAAAAAACGAAAAATAAAAACTCCTATAAATTAAACAATCAAAAATACAAAAAAAATAACTTCAAAATTCAAAAATTTTAAAATGAAAACCGGAAATCTAAAAAATTAAGAAATTGTACGAAGCATAGAAAAGTTAAAAAATTGTAAGATCGAAAAAAACGAAATACTGAAAAATCGAAAAATGGAAAAGCCAAAAATTGAATAATAAAAACCCTAATAATTAATTGCAAAAAGTGAAAAATTAAAAATCGGCAAATTTAAAAATGAAACAATTACAAAATTGTAAATTTGAAAAAAAAATGGAAAAATTGAAAATCAAAAATTGAAAAACCAAACTTGAAAAAATTGGCAAACAACTGAGAAATTGTAAAATCGAAAATTTGTAACACTGAAACCTGAAAAAGTGATAAATTAAAAATCTAGGAATTGAAAAATCGAAAAAACGAAAAATTGTAAAATTCAACAGATAGAAAATCGAAAAATTAAAATATCTACAAATTAAAAAATCGAAAAATAACAATTTTACTGAAAAATGTAACAATTTCATAATGAAAATCGAAAAAAAAACAAAAATTTAAAAATCTCGAATTGAGAAAATAAAAAATCGAAGAAACGAAACAACTTGGAAGTACATACTTGGAAGTACTTCATTTTTAATTTTTCATTTTCTCGATTTTTCATTTTTTAGTTGTTCAACAAAAGACAAATTTATTTAAACCGAAATTTTTAATTGAATTGAAAAATCAAAAAATTGAGAAATCGAAGAACTGAAAAAATAAAGAAACCTTGAAAAAACCGAAAAAATGAGACTTGAAATATCGAAAAATTTAAAAATTTGAAAAATCGAAAAACGAAAAAAATTGAGAAATTGAACAATGGCATAATTGAAAAAACAACTGACAAATCGAAAAATTGTAATATTGAAACCTGAAAACCCGGATTAATTAAAAATCGAGAAAGTGAAAAATTGAAAAAACGAAAAACAAAACCTTCTATAAATTAAACAATCAAAAATACAAAAAAAATAATTTCAAAATTCAAAAATTTTTAAATGAAAAGCGGAAAATACAAAATTAAGAAATTGTAAAAACGAAACATGGAAAAGTTAAAAAATTGTAACATCGAAAGAACGAAACACTGAAAAATCAAAAAATTTAAAAATTGAGAAGTCGAAGAATTGAAAAAATCAAGAAAACTTGAAAAACCCGAAAAAATGAGATACAAAAATTGAAAAATGAAACTTGAAATATCGAAAAATTTTAAAATTGAAAAATCGAAAAGGGAAAAATGAGAAATTAAACAAGTGGATTATTGAAAAAACAAGTGAAAATCGAAAAATTGTAATATGGAAACCTGAACACCCTGATTCATTAAAAATCGAGAAATTGAAAAATTGAAAAAATGAAAAACAAAAATTTCTATAAATTAAATAATGAAAAATACAAAAAATTTTAATTCCAAAATCCAAATATTTTAAAATGAAACTTGAAAAATCGAAAAATGAAAAAATTGGGAATTGATTTGGATAATTGAAAAATCTAAAAATTGTAATATTGGAACCTCAACACCCTCATTAATTAAAAATCGAGAAATCGAAAAATCAACAAAACGAAACAGTTCTGCAATTTTTCGACATAAAATTTTTCAAATTCTCGATTTTTAATTTTTCATTTTCTCGATTTTTCATTTTTTAGTTGTCCAACAAAAGACAAATTTATTTAAACCGAAATTTTGAATTGAATTGAAAAATCAAAAAATTGAGAAATCGAAGAATTGAAAAAATAAAGAAAACTTGAAAAAACCGAAAAAATGAGACTTGAAATAGGTATCGAAAAATTTAAAAATTTGAAAAATCGAAAAAAGAAAGAATTGAGAAACTGAACAATGGCATAATTGAAAAAACAATTGAAAAATTGAAAAATTGTAATATTGAAACCTGAAAACCCTGATTAATTAAAAATCGAGAAAGTGAAAAATTGAAAAAACGAAAAACAAAAACTTCTATAAATTAAACAATCAAAAATACAAAAAAAAAATATTTTAAAATTCAAAAATTTTAAAATGAAAACCGGAAATCTAAAAAATTAAGAAACTGTGAAAACGAAACATGGAAAAGTTAAAAAATTGTAACATTGAAAAAACGGAAGACTGAAAAATCAAAAAATTTAAAAATTGAGAAGTCGAAGAATTGAAAAAATTGGTCTAAAGAGTTTAGACAGTACTTCCCTCGCTGTCGGAAACTTGACGACTGCATGCCTATTGTGTTTTTTTTCTCATTACATTTTTGTAGTGGGAATTTAAAAAAAAATGCGATGACGTCATCAACATTTTTGCAAGGATACGTATATCAGTTGGGATAGATGTAGTGTAATACTAAGAATAAAATTATTATATTCTCAAATTTTCGGGAAAATGAATTGGGTCATTTTGAATATTGATTTGTAATAATCAATAAAATAACGAAACAATTTACTCACGTATACGTATCAGAGGCAACTGAAAATCGTGTATGTATAAACATTCTTAACTTAAGATGACAGGCGTAACAGCATACGTGAGAGTCAAACAGAGAAACTGTAAACAAAACGACCATCGGTTTTATTGCTTCGACTTCCGCTTATTATATAAAACATTGGGTTTTATTTTAATTCTTGACGGTGAAATTCACAATTGGTTGATTATAAACATGTCTATTTCACATTCGCGGAACCAAGTGATCGCATAAAACAAATGCAGGTCTGTAATGTTAAAGTCGATGTAAATAAGCGTGCTAGCCTTATGTTTCAACCGAGTTTTTCCTTTAACAAATTTTGTGTCTACCAAATTGGGTTGGTTGGGGTGTAATACTAATAATAAGTGTTGTCTTTAATTTAATCAATAAAATAAATTGACTTCATTAATTTTTTTGAACCACCTCTTAAGAAAATCTAAAAAATATGAATGGAATGATAAATCACAAGTACAAACTCATCATATTTTTTGCATTTTAGATAGGATTTATTCAGCAAAATTTAAGGGTGACGTCATCAATTTTTTTAGGAGGGATGAACAAATACATTTTGAACAAAAGTTTACCATGCTTATAATAACTTTAAAATATTCCCAAGATTTCAAAGCATTCGGTTTTCTAATTCCTGATTAAATCGATAAAATAAATTCACGCCTTCATTAATTTTTTTGAGTCACCCTGCATATGCAAATCCAAAAATATGATTGGAATGATAAATCACAAGTACAGACTCATCATATTTTGTACATTTTAGATACGATTTATTCGGCAAACTTTTGAGCTGACGTCATCAGTTTTTTGTAGAAGATAACCAAATATATTTTGACTAAAAATTTATTATGCTCTTTATAACCTTAAAACATCTGCAAGATTTCAAAGCATTCGGTTTTGTAGTTCCTGATTAAATCAATAAAATAGATTTACGCATTCATTTTTTTTTTGAGTCACCCTGTATATGCAAATCGAAAAAATTTGAATGGAATGATAAATCACAAGAAGAGACTCACCATATTTTGTACATTTTAGATAGGATTTTTTCAGCAAAATTTTGTGGTGACATCATAAATTTTTTAGGGGGGACGACCAAATACGTTTTGATAAAAAATTTACCATGCTTATGATAATTTTAAAATATCTTCAAGATTTCGGAGCATTCGGTTTTGTAGTTCCTGAGTAAATCAGTAAAATAAATTTACGCTTTCATTTATTTTCTTGAATCACTCTGTATATGCAAATCCAAAAAATATGAATGGAGTGATAGATCACAAGTACAGACTGATATATTTTGTACATTTTAGATATGATTTATTCGGCAAATTTTCGAGCTGACGTCATCAAGTTTTTGGAGGGGATAAGCAAATATATTTTGACTAAACATTTATTATGCTCTTTATAACCTTAAAACATATGCAAGATGTCAGAGCATTCCATTTTGTTGTTCCTGATTAAATCAATAAAATATATTTACGCATTCATTAATTTTTTTGAGTCACTCTGTATATGCAAATCCAAAAAATATGAATGGAGTGATAAATGACAGGTACAGGCTCATCATATTTTGTACATTTTAGATATGATTTATTCGGCAAACTTTCGAGCTGACGTCATCAAGTTTTTGGAGGGGATAAGCAAATATATTTTGACTAAACATTTATTATGCTCTTTATGACCTTAAAACATCTGCAAGATTTCAGAGCATTCGGTTTTGTAGTTCCTGATTAAATCAATAAAATATATTTACGCATTCATTAATTTTTTTGAGTCACCCTGTATATGCAAATCCAAAAAATATGAATGGAGTGATAGATCACAAGTATAGACTCATCATATTTTGTACATTTTAGATATGATTTATTCCACAAACTTTTGAGCTGACGTCATCAAGTTTTTGGAGGGGATAAGCAAATATTTTTTGACTAAAGATTTATGATGCTCTTTATAGCCTTAAAACATCTGCAACATTTCAAAGCATTCTGGTTAGCACATTAAAAATTAAATTTCAAAATGTTGTTTTATAATTTTGATTTTTTTTCCAAAAATCTGGACGTTTCGGGTGAAAAGTCGATTCAGAGTTGTAAACTACATGTGTAGGACTATGTTATTTTATACAATTGAAAACCCATTTACTATGTACAATTTTGAAGTGACGTCATCGCATTAGTGGTGGGGATGATTAGACAAATTTTGGTTAGCCTTTTACCATCTACATGATATTCTTAATATAAGTACAAAATTTCACAACAATCGGTCGAGTACTTTCGGAGATTATCTGTCTAATAAAAATCCGGGACAACAGACGGACAGACGGACGGACAGACGGACGGACAGACGGACGGACAGACGGACGGACAGACGGACAGACAGACGGAAATGGGAGACCTATTTCTTTGTCTTCTAGGGGTCATGAAAGATCGAGAAAACGCAAAAGTAGAGAGTCGGCCGATGGACTCGATTACAATACTTCCTTTGCTTACGCTCGGGAAGTAAAAATCAAGAAAACTTGAAAAAACCGAAAAAATGAAATTCAAAAATTGAAAAATGAAACTTGAAATATCGAAATATTTTAAAATTGAAAAATCGAAAAGGAAAAAAAGAGAAATTAAACAAGTGGATAATTGAAAAAACAATTGAAAAATCAAAAAATTGTAATATGGAAACCTGATTCATTAAAAATCGAGAAATTGAAAAATTGAAAAAATGAAAAACAAAAATTTCTATAAATTAAATAATCAAAAATACAAAAAGTTTTCATTTCAAAATCCAAAGATTTTAAAATGAAACTTGAAAAATCGAAAAATGACAAAATTGAGAAATTCATTTGGATAATTGAAAAATCGAAAAATTGTAATATTGAACCCTGAAAATCGTGATTAATTAAAAATCGAGAAAGTGAAAAATTGAAAAAACGAAAAACAAAAACTATAAATTAAACAATCAAAAATACAAAAAATTGTAACATCAAAAAACCGAAAAGTTTAAAAGTTGAGCAATCGAAGAATTGAAAAAATACAGAAACTGAAAAATCGGAAAATGGAATAGCCAAAAATTAAATAATAAAACCCTAATAATTATTTGAAAAAAGTGAAAACTTAAAAATCGGCAAATTTAAAAAAGAAACAATTACAAAATTGTAAATTTGAAAAAAAAATAAAAATGGAAAAATTGAAGAAATGAAAAATTGAAAATCAAAAATTGAAAAAACAAACTTGGAATATCGAAAAATTGAAAAAATTGGCAAACTGAAAATTGGGTAACGAAAAAACAATTAAAAAGTGATACATTAAAAATCTAGGAATTGAAAAATCTAAAAAAAACGAAAAATTGTAAAATTCAATAGAAATATAAAATCGAAAAATTAAAAAGCAAATTAGAAAATCGAGAAATTAAAACATCTACAAATTAAAAAATACAAAAATACAAAAATTTTACTGAAAAATGCAACAATTTCATAACGAAAATCGAAAAACTAAAAAATGGAGAAATCGAAAAATGTAAAAACGAAACACGTAAAAATCGAAAAATTAACAATAAAAAAAAACAAAAATTTAAAAATCTCGAATTGAAAAAATAAAAAATCGAAGAAACGAAACAACTTGGAATTACGTACTTGGAACTACTTTATTTGTAATTTTTCATTTTCTCAATTTTTCGTATTTTAATTTTTCAACAAAAGGACAAACTTATTAAAAGTGAAATATTAAAAAATCAAAAAATCGGAAAATTGTAAAACTGAAAAATTGAAAAATCAAAAAAATATAAATTGAAAAATCGAAAAAGAAACATTGAAAAACCGAACAATTTAAAAATTGAGAAATCGAAGAACTCCAAAAATAAAGAAACTCAAAAACTGAAAATTTAAAAAAACAGATAAGTCGAACAATTGCAAAATTGAAAATCAAAAATAGAAAAAACGAAACGTGAAACACCGAGAAATTTAAAATTGCAATCTTGAAACTTGAGAAATTGAAAACTTCGATAATTGAAAAAACAACTGAAAATTTGAAAAACTGAAGAAAAAAGAAAAAACTTCAAAAATCGATGCGAATTAAAAAAAAAGGCTCGACCACACAGATGAAAGCAATAATATTCGACTTTGGGCCAGTTTGAATTTAGCGCCGATTTACTTTGTTGTGATTGGTCGGCACGGTTGCAGAAATTATATTTGTGAACGTACCCCGAATGACATTTGTTTATTTAGGTTATGTTTTGAATTTTCATCGACAATTTTCCGCTGAATTCTTGGGTAAGACAATCGATTTCACTTTCATAAGTAAATAAAAGTTAATAAATTCAGGTGGGACAAAATGCCGCTCTGAAATATTCCCACAACCATGCCCACATGAACTCATTGCCCAACAACGTTCACACTTGCAAAATTTGTCCATTCTTCTCCACATCAGAGTTCCGAATGGTAAACCACATGAGAACCCACCGTTGGCCGTTAACTCAGTTCAGCTGCGAAAAATCCAACCTTGATTTATACTTTTGCAAGGATTGCAACTTCCAAACCGACCTAACCTTACTTTTGAAAAAACACATCAAAAAAATACCACCGCTCCCATCCACAAAACAAACACAACCCGCAAGAAGAAGACGAAATTCGGAGTTATATTTGCAAACAATGTAGTTTTGAAACGCATTTTTTGTTGAAATGGTGGCAACATGCTCAAATGTGCCCAAAAAATAACGCAAAACGTGAAATAAGTTGGTATCAATACAAAAACTGTTCACACAAAAGTGCCAACTTGATAAAAACGCATAAATGCGACTATGAAATCAAGGATTTAAGTGAAGATGGTGTGAAATGGCACAAATGCAACCATTGTTTGTTCAAGACACTGAGAAAAGATGCTTTGAAAAGACATATGGTTAATATTCATTTCAGTGAAAATCACTCTGACTGGCATCAATGTGATAAATGTCCATTCAAAGCCAAATTTCACTATATGCTAAACAGACACATACGTAAGCGGCATTTACAGACCACAGAGAAAGCGACTTTCATCTGGTACAAATGTGATCATTGTCAATTGAAAACAGCTTCCTTGGACTTTTTAAACAGCCATGTTAGCGAAAAACACAAAATTAAAGCAGACGCTGAATATAAGTGTGAACAATGTTCCTACAAAGCAATGCGAAAAAATCTTCTGACACGTCACATCAGGAACTTGCACCAACGCGACCAGCTTAAGCAGTTTCAATGTGACCAGTGTTCATACAAATCAACAAGAAATTACATACTACCTGAAACGTCATACATTGAACATGCACGAACCCAACCGGAACAAGTGGTTTCAGTGTGACCAATGTTTATACAAAACAACAAAGAGGGAGGAACTGACTCTTCACACCATGAACAGGCACCAACGTGATCAGATTAAGCAGTTTCAGTGCAACCAGTGTTTGTACAAAACAACACGAAAATATCATCTCACACGTCACACATTGAGCGTGCACCAACGTCAACAAACTAAGCAGTTTCAATGTGACCAGTGTTCATACAAATCATCAAAAAAAATGCATCTGATTCTTCACATCATGAATGTGCACCAACGCGGTCAGACTAAGCAGTTTCAATGTGACCAATGTTGTACCAAACAACACAAAAACATCATTTGACGCGTCATACCATGAACATGCACCAACGCGACCGAATTAAGCAGTTTCAGTGTGACCAGTGTCCGTACAATTCAACGAGGAATGATCATCTGAAACGTCACGTAGTGAATATGCACGAACCCGACCGAAACAAGTATTGATTTGTTTTTAATAACTTTTTTGTTTCTAGGCAAAAATTATTCCTTAAATATTATTTAATACTTTCGTGATATTTTATTACTAGCGTGCACAAGTTGATTTCACAACTAATTAAAAACCGACCGACGCCAACACGTGGTGTAAATTTGATTCATTGTTTGTAAATTCACAGTTCATGTTAGGATTTTAATCGTTAACTGGTACTAACACAATTTAACAGTAATGAGATCGTTCAAATAAAACACTTGCTAGGAGATTTTATCAGATTCGCTTAGTGAGGACTCACCCTTTGTTTATTAAGTTATAAATAAGGTTTCTGGATGCTCATCCTTAACTGTTACACTTCTCAATAGTTCGTTTACGGCAGTTACATTAACCTATCTCACAATTGTAGCCTCAGGGGCCAATTCCAAGTTGGTGGCGCAAGTCACTGGTGCAGCGCAACTTTATAATGCTAATTTGGGTATCAAATGCTGGTTGCTAGGGGTGACGGAATAAACAAGCGCAATTTTTCGAGATAAATTGCGCCAACTTGCACTGCCTACTAGAGGTGCCGCAACTCCATGGTGCAAATTTCAATGGAAAGTTCGACAAAACTGCGTTTGTTGATTCCGTCACCCCTAGCAACCAGCATTTGATACCCAAGTTAGCATTATAAAGTTGCGCTGCACCAGTGACTTGCGCCACCAACTTGGAATTGGCCCCTCAGTAATTTTCTTTGCTGTATAATTTAAATCGAACGTAAATTTTCATGTTCTGCAGTTTCTAACCTCACGTAATTTTTGGTCTGCAAAAGTTTTACTTCACACCAGATCTTTTTTTGTTTTTATAAATCTTTGCTAGTTATTTTTACCATGTCCAATCTTAATCTCAGATAAGAATTCTTTGCTGTTTAAAATTTCGCGGGAGTGTATGTATGGCGAATTTAAATGTTGTTTATTGCTCTTTTGAAACTGTAACACTTGTTCGGTCGTAGTTTAATATCAGAGTTATAGAAATTAAACATTTAATAAACGGAATTGAGGTAAATAACACAGAAATACGTAGCGGAAGCGGAGTGCGCGGTTCCTGGTCGAGCTGGCGGTCGCGCCATCTGCACAAAAGGATGCAAGTCTTGAATAGAAGTCGGGGGCGGGATTTCCAACCACGAGTTTGCGACCGTAACGGCCTGCTCGTACGACACGTTTCTTCGTGATAGAGGGTAGAGGGGTACTGTACGGCAGTGCTTGCCGATAGAATAGAATCACCGTCGTGGTGGGACAACAGCCACAACCAGGAGCCCCAAACTCCGCTCGTGTTACAACGCCCCTTATGGGTAATTTTGCTGTGTTCTAGAACGATATTATGTATAGAGTTTATTATTAAAATTTTGTTCACTTGTTGACTACCATAATTTAAATTTGCCGTCACACGTCCGTAATAACTTGTGTATTTGCATCCAGTTACTTTAATTCAGATTTTTCTTTGTTTTTATTAAATTTGTGATATTCAACTATTTGCATTGGTTCAGAACGTTTAATTTGTTTTCATTCAAAGTTAGACGCATTTTTTTAGAGCTGAGAACTAAGAATGATGTTAAAATAAATTTTACTTTAAAAAATTGATGACGTCACCTCAGAAGTTTGACTGTACTTCTAATTTATCATTCCATTCAAATTTTTTGGATTTGCATAGACAGGGTGACTCAAAAAAATTAATGAATGCGTGAATATATTTTATTGATTTAATCAGGAACTACAAAACCGAATGATTTGAAATCTTGGAGATGTTTTAAAGTTATCATAGGTATGGTAAATTTGTGATCAAAATATATTTGCTCATCCCCCCTAAAAAATTGAACACGCCACCCCAAAATTTTTCCGAAAAAATGCGATCGTAAATGTGCATTGTGCAAAGTATGATTAGTCTATAATTGGATTTATCACTGCATAAATATTTTTTAGATTTGCTTATACGGGGTGTGTGAAAAAAATTAATGACTGAGTCAATTTATTTTATTGATGAAATCAAGAATTGCAAATCTGGATACTTTGAAATCTTGACGTTTTGAAGTTATTGTAAGCATGGTAACTTTTTAATGAAAATGTATCTGTTTATCAACCCCCAAAAATTGATTACGGCATCTCAAAATTTTGCCGAATAAATTCTTTCGCAAATGTGCAAAATATGAACAGACTTTTAATCATTGCATTCATATTTTTTAGATTTGCTTAAAATGGTGACTCAAAAAAATTAATGAATCAGTCAATTTATTATTGATCAAATTAAGAACGAGCCACCCCATTTTCTGGAAAATGTGAGAATACGCTCGTCTTTATAACAATAAAATAATGATATGGTAAGAATTATAATAATAACATTCAGAATATTTTGTTCAATGGAGGCTTATGAATAATTTTAGTCATCTGTTTTGGGGCGATAAACTCATTCAAATGAAACAAATGTCTACGTGACATTCTTCGGATGTATTGTATTCCCGTTGATAATGTGCTGTAAATAAATTTTTTGCACTCATAAGCTTTTTTTATGACCAAGTGGAAGGACCAGTAACCCGAGCGGTAAAAATCAATTGCCATAATAAAGATCTGTTCAACTTTACCGCGTTAGCTGTAACTAAGTAGTTGCGAGCACGATTTATAGAGGGCACAGAAACTCGTTCTTGTTTATTTAGGTTATGTTCAACATTCTCACCAGTGTTTTTTCGCTGAATTACTAGGTAAGACAACCGATTTCACTTTGACAAGTAAATAAAAGTTAATAAATTCAGATCCAACGAAATGGCCGCTCTGGAATATTCCGAAAATTATGCCCGCATGGGTTCGTTCTCCAACAAGGTTCACAATTGCAAAATTTGCCCATTTTTCTCCACATCAGTGTTCCGAATGGTAAACCACGTGAGAACCCACCGTTCGCCGTTAACTCATTTCAGCTGCGAAAAATCCAACGTTGAATTATACTTGTGCAAGGACTGTAACTTCCAGACCAACCTAACCTTACTTATGAAAAAACACATCAAAAACTACCACAGCTCCCATCCACAAAACGCAAGCAACTCGCTAGAGGAAGAGGAAGACGAAAATCGGAGTTATATTTGCAAAAAATGTGGTTTTGAAACATATTTCTTGTTGAAATGGCTACAACATGGTCAAAAATGCGACAATGATGTATTTACAGAAATCAAGGATTTATGTGTTAGTGAAAAACACAAAACCAAACCAAACGCAGAATATAAGTGTGACCAATGTTCCTACAAAGCAACACAAAAACAGAATCTGAGACGTCACACTATGAACTTGCACCAACGCGACCAGATTGAGAAGTTTCAGTGTTACCAATGTTTGTACAAAACAACAAGAAAAGATAATCTGAGGGCTCACATCAGGAACTTGCACCAACGCGATCAGATTAAGCAGTTGCAGGGTGACCAACGTTCATACAAAGCAACAAGAAAAGATTATCTGAAACGTCACATAATGAACATGCATGAACCCCACCCGAACGAGTGGTTTCACTGTGAACAGTGTCCATACAAAACAAAAAGAAAAGAGCAACTGACTCGTCACACCCGTCACATCATGAAGGACCAGATTAAGCAATTTCAATGTGACCAATGCTCATACAAAGCAACCAGAAAAGATCATCTGAAACGTCACACTATAAGCTTGCACCAACGCGACCAGATTGAGAAGTTTCAGTGCTACCAATGTTCGTACAAATCAATAAGAAAAGATAATCTGAGGGCTCACATTAGGAATTTGCACCAACGCGATCAGATTAAGTAGTTGAAGGGTGACCAACGTTCGTACAACGCAAAAAGAAAATCCCTAACATCATCCAATGGTGCTCGCATCTGATGAACGACCAACTAATTCTAATGACACTAGTGACCTTGACGCTGTAACAATTTTATTTTCTTTAATTGTTAAATACTTGAAATAAAAAATAAACACGAATGTAGTAATCATTAATTGCGGTTTAAGTTAATTTATAACGAAATATTCGTAAAGGTGAATGTCCAGAGTTACTAGAAATACTTGATCCTATTGACCCTTTTCCTATAAGATCGTAAAACTTCCATCGTGACTTTCCGTGCGCACGCATCTTCAAAACCACGTTGGAAATAGTATCCGGCACTCCGGCAGCAGAGCAAAGGCCTGTGACCACAGTATAGACAACAGTCAGTATGGACAACTCGTGTCGGCACCTTTGATCTTTTTGACCCGAATTTTAAGCCGTCATCGGTGGTCGTTGTCCAAAATATTTCTAGATGTCGCCACCTAATTTAAAAAGGATCACAAACGCTTTATTTTAAAATTGATTCGTGTACACAATTTACTACACTTTGTGCAAATGAATTTTTGGAAAAGACTTAAAAATAGTGTAATAACAATAACATTTTATAACTAGTTGATCTTAGAAACCACACAGTCTATTATAATAAATAATTAATTAAGCGCCCTATAACAGGGATGCCATGTTGAAATTTAGATGTGGCCCGCTTCTCTGATTACGATTTTACGTTTCATTAATTTCTTTTTCATGATGGCTGTAAATGGTTGTAAAATTCAACTTTATTAGAAAATGCTAATATATGTACATTTAATTTTTTTACAAAAAAAAAAAAAAAACACTAAACAATGGTCCTATGAAAACGTGAACAACGCTTTTTAAAATGTCTGTATGAAAATTACACTTAACTGCAATAATTACACCGGAAGATCAGCCTTAAATCATCAAAACCAATGCAACTAAACTGCCAAATTTCAAATATTTCACAATTCGCATTAACGTCACTAGATAACAAAAGTACCGCAGTTCAATGTCCCAATGTATAAGAAAGAGAAGTACCTTGCGTTGCGCGCCCTCATACGGTCACAAGACAAAGGACCACCCATGAAAACTAATGTGACTCGATCTTGAAATGTGTGGCAATTAGTAACTTTTATGAAATAGAAATATATCTGTGTCCTTGTTATGCTCCGTCTTTTCGACAGCAGGTATTTTTTGCTTCCAGGATGGCGATCCTGTTACTGTCATTTGGTCATCAATTGCCTTGGTGGTAACACGTCTTCCACGACTGTTTGCTGGTTACCGGTGACACTTTCTCGTTGAATAGGGCTGGAGTTACTTTGTGACTGGAATAATGTTCTTTCCGGTCCGTTAACTCAATAATTCTAGTACAGTCTGTCGTAACCTCAAATCGTAAACACATCAAACTTTCGTTGACAGATAGCGAAAATTACTAGCCTCGCGCTATCTTTGTTTAACACATAGGTTAGGTTCCTCTCTGTCGAATTCCGACCACAGGCAGTTAGCCGTACTTTCTAAAAGTAATAGTAGATCTAGTGACTTTAATGAAAACGGGTCAGTAAAAACAGCGAGTTGTCTCTACTGATTGATATCTATACTGTGCTGTGACAACAAACCGCTTTGACAGAATGCAACCGGCTACACATGCGTAATCTGTCGCTCATTGGTTAATTTTAACTTGGCGCTCCAAAAATCTGACTTCACCTGCGCGATGTTGTCTCACTCTGTATCATTGGAATTTATATAATGTCTACTCACTTTGCTTACAGGAAAAGGGTCAATTTATTATCCGTTCACGATCTTTATATACTAGGGTTGGCCATGAAAATCTAGTGACTTTGTTGGTATTCGATGCAGAAGAATAAAAATTCCCTGAACTTTTACGTTAGGTTATGTTTTATTAAATTAAAGGTTAAAAAATATGTCAGAAATACAAACATTGTTGCCGATACTTTCAGTTTTCAGTAGCAATGACCAAGTTAACGGTATCCATTTCTTAGAAAGCATAAAACTTTACGCTATTTAAAACAGTTATTCGGCTTTTTGTAAGTGTTTATTTCATATGCAACGAACAAACACTAAAATTTCACTTAAACATTGTTTTTATATGAATGGGGGTTCTGCATACGACTATTGTCTTCTTATTAGAAATGGAAATTTCGACCTTTGTGAACAGCCTATTTCCATATCTTCCAACTTCTTTTTTCACTTTTCTAAGATTACTAAAATAGTTGGTAAAAGACAACAACCTTGCTCTAGTGCTTTGATGGGTTTAGCTCTTCTGATACATTTTTCCGGTCTTAAATTAATGATTTATCTGTATAGCTATTACTAATGCTTACGTAAGTGCTCTTTATTTGCTTTTACTAAGTACTTCCAAACGCTTATTAATAAGAACGTTACTACACGTCTTCTCCAGGTCCATGAAGAGTTACAAAAAAAAAAATGAAAATGCTTAAAATTTGGTGCAAAGTAACAACGTGGATGATCTAACTAAAATTATACTTATTTTGTTGTACGTCAGGTAGTTTTTCACATACTACCTTGGTAAATTTAGAACGAAATATGCGTAAAAGTATCACCCCCCGACAAGCTACAATTCACTCCATTTCCATTATTTCGCTATGAAAATCTGTATCATCACCGTCATTTTCAAATTCAGACTCTGAATCAGATTCACCTAGCGAAATAATGAAAGGAGGTGTAGATTCGTACAAAAGATTTCGCATATTTTTTCCCAATCTGCCAAAATAAGTTTTGCACAATGTTTACAAAAATTTTGCCACATGCTTGGAGTACATTTAGAAAGCACTTCAAGCCATAAATTCTCCACCCTATTTTTTAATGAAGGTTGAGAATTTATATGCTTGTTGTAATAGTTCTTACAAAATCCCCTCGCCATTTCTAATTTATTATTAATAAATATTAAGGAAAATGTGTTGTGTTATTGCTGTGAACACGGAAGAAAATGGATATTTTTCCGAAAAGGACCGAAAACAGGGTAAGTAGTACTTCAGTTTTAATTTATCAGGTTCCGTGATTCGTTTCCTCGACAAAGTTTAAATTTTGGGGAAATTTTCAAAACGATTGAAGTTGGTCGATCAAAGCCATAAATTTTCATTAACCCCGAAAATGTGCAATTTGCCGGTCGAAATATGAAAAATAATTTTTGCAATCTCATCGTCACTGAAATTTTCGAAACGATTGAAGTTGGTCTGTCAACGTTATAAATTTTCACGATATAATTAAATAAGTTTTAAACATAAGTAATATAATTTACAATGTTTAATTTTGCAATTAGGCTCCTCCCCTAGGTATACCAACGAATAAAAAGTTCATTACTATTTAGTGGGGCGTAATCTGTGGCTTCAATTTTTGTCTTAATATACACAGTATCCTTTGAACAACACGATACTCAAAAACGTGTTTTTAATTTCTCGTAGAGAAATAAGGATTTTGCAGTTAAGCTCCGCCCCTCGGCTTACGACGAATAAAGAAAATCATCAGAATTGAGTTAGGGTGGGTGGGGCTTATATTTTGCCTTTTTCTGTCTTAACATCCGTAGCCATCTTTTCACAAGAAGAAACTTCAAATATAGTTAAAATGGTACATTTTTGCAAAGAAATATGAATTTTGCAACTATGGAACGGAGCTTAATTTCAAAATCGATATTTCCTTATACAAATTTTCCATTTTAAACATGTTTTAAGTTTCATGTTGCGAAAAGAAATCTACACATATTAAAACAAAAAGGAAAGGTGTCAGCCCGCCCACCCGCCCAGTCTCAATTGTGATGAACTTAACTGCAAAATACTTATTTCTTTACAAAAAATTAAAAACATGTTTTGAGTGTCGTGTTGTTCAAAGAATACAATGTATATTAAAAAAAAGGCGATATATAAAAATGGTAAATTCTTGTAGACAAATATGGATCATGCAATTAAATCCCGCCCCTCGATCTGACAACGAATGAAAATTCATCACAAATGTGAATTGAGATCGGGGCGGGTATGGGTGGGACCTAATCTTCGGCAACACGATAATGAAAAACATGTTTTTAATTTCTTTTAGAGAAATAAGGATTTTGCAGTTAAGCTCCGCCTTCTTGGCTCACGATGAATATAAAAATCATCACAATTGAGATAGGGTGGGTGGGCGGGGCTACATTTTGCCTTTTTTTTCTTAATATGTGTAGACTTAATTCGACAACAAGAAACTTAAACATCTCTAAAATGGTAAACTTGTGAGAATCTGAGCGAGCTTTTGAGGAATTTCGAAGAATTTAGAAAAATCTAAGGGAAAAAAACTGGAGGAATTTGGAGGAATTTTAAAGAATTTGCAGAGATCTGAAAGGATCTGTAAGAATCTGAAATGATCTGAATATAATTGAAAAATTTTAAAGAATCTTGAGGATTCCTGACCGTGTCTTTGAAAGCATCTGAAAAATTTCGAAAGAATCTAAAACAATCTGGAAGCATCGAAAACATCCAGAATAATCCGAAAAAATAAAAAAATCGAAAGAGTCTGAAAGACACATTCAGAAGAAAATGAAAAAATCTGAAAGCATCTGAAAGAATCGAGAGGTATTTGATATAATGTGAAAAAATCTGAAGAAATCTGAAAGAAATTGGGAGATTCGGAAGGAATTGGAAGGAATTTGAGGAAACTTGTGAGAATCTCGGCGAGTTTTGAGGAATTTCGAACAATTTAGAAAAACATGTTTTTAATTTCTCGTAGAGAAATAAGGATTTTGCAGTTAAGCTCCGCCTTCTTGGCTCACGATGAATAAAAATATCATCACAATTGAGATAGGGTGGGTGGGCGGGGCTACATTCTGTGTTTTTTTTTTGTTAATATGTGCAGACTTATTTCGACAACAAGAAACTTGAACACCTCTAAAATGGTAAACTTGTGAGAATCTAAGCGAAATTTTGAGGAATTTTGAAGAATTTAGAAAAATCAAAGAGAATAAAAAAAACTGGAGGAATTTGGAAGGATTTTAAAGAATCTGCAGATATCTGAAAGGATCTGTAAGAATCTGAAATGATCTGAATATTATTGAAAAATTTGAAAGAATCGTGGTGTCTTTGAAAGCATCTGAAAAATTTCGAAAAATTCTGAAACAATCTGGAAGCATCGAAAACATCCGGAATAATCCGAAAGAATAAAAAAATTGAAAGAATCTGAAAGAGACATTCAGAAGAAAATGAAAAAATCTGAAAGCATCTGAAAGAATCTAAAGGAAATTGAGAGAATGTGAAAAAATATAAGGGAATCTGAAAGAAATTGGAAGATACGGAAGGAATTGGAAGGAATTTGAGGAAACTTGTGAGAATCTCAGCGAGGAATTTCGAACAATGTGGAAAAACATGTTTTTAATTTCTCGTAGAGAAATAAGGATTTTGCAGTTAAACTCCGCCTTCTTGGCTCACGATGAATATCAAAATCATCACAATTGAGGTAGGGTGGGTGGGCGGGGCTACATTCTGTCTCTTTTTTCTTAATATGTGCAGACTTATTTCGACAACAAGAAACTTAAACATCTCTAAAATGGTAAACTTGCGACAATCTAAGCGAACTTTTGAGGAATTTTGAAAAATTTAGAAAAATCAAAGAGAATAAAAAAAAACTGGAGGAATTTGGAATGATTTTAAAGAATCTGCAGATATCTTATCTTATAGTGTCGTTTATATTAAAAATTATAAAAGTTCAACTCAATTTTGCCCCGACTCTGATTCTGAACGTCCCCTGCTACGTCATAGACACCCAAATGTCAACACCAAATTGAGGTTATGTTTACGAAAATTTGCAAACAGCTTTTGTAACGTTTTAACTGCAATTTTCCGACACCCGACAACTTCTAGCCCTCAAAGCCCTCAAATGTCAAGCCTGGAATATTCTGAAAACTTCGTCAATGTGAAGTGTTCCTCCGAGCCAGTCCACCACTGCCAGGTCTGCCCCTACTTCACAACGTCCCTTTTCCTCTTAATCAACCACGTGCGACGCCACTACTTATCACCACCACCTTTTGACTGTGAAAACTCCAACATTGAAACGTACGTCTGCAAAGACTGCAACTTCCAAACAGAATTAACAATTTTCCTCAAAAAACACATCAAGGAATCCCATGGAACTAAAACCGAAGGTGTGGAATACAGCGTCCAAAGTTACATTTGCAAATATTGCAACTTTGAAACTCATTTCTCGTTAAAGTGGCTTCAGCACGCGTCAAATTGTAACAAATTTGGTCAAAGTAGGAGAGATTTGCGGCTACACATAACCTCAAAACATTTACAAAACGGCGAAATAAGTTGCGACGAATGTTCATACAAGGCGAAATTAAAGCGATCCTTGAAAAGACACAAGGACGTTTGGCATTCAGGTGACACCCAAGTTAAATGGTATGAATGCCAAAAGTGCCCCTATAAAACGAAATTTAAGCCGAATTTGAGACGCCACGAACGAGGAACTCACCTAGACACCATAGAAACAACCTTGAAGTGGTACAAATGTAACTACTGCCCCTACGAAACCACCGCAAAAAGGTACTTAAACCCCCACATAATCAGCAAACATTTAAGCGAAAACGAAATCAAGTGGTACCACTGCCAAAAATGTCCATACAAAGCTAAAAGAAAAGAGTCTTTAAACATCCACACGTACCGCATGCACTCAGACGAAAAAGACATCGTGTGGTACCACTGCGATAAATGTACATACAAAGCCAAAGCCCTAAGTTCTTTAAAGTACCACACGAACTACCTCCACCCCGACTCGGAAACCATCCAACTCCACCAGTGCCAACACTGCCAATTCAAAACCAAATATTCCAAAAACTTGAAAGTCCACGTGAAAAATCGACACTCGAGCGAAAGCGAGATTAAGTGGCACGAGTGTGACAAGTGCCCATATAAAGGTAAAAACCGCGCGGCTTTAAAAATGCACGTCATTAGAAAACACGTGAGTGACGATAAAATCGAGTGGTACCAGTGTGACAAGTGTCCGTATAAAACCAAGTACAAAAGTGCGGTAAAAGTGCACTTTGATAAACACCAAAACGAACAAATCCGTTGGTACCACTGCGAACGGTGTCCATACAAAGCTAAAAAGAAAAGTCAGTTGAAAATGCACGTGGGAGTGCTGCATTTAGGGGGGAAAGGAATCAAGTGGCACAAATGTGAGCAGTGTTCCTATGCGACTAAACAGTTCAGTTATTTGAAGGAACACAAAATTAATAAACATGTGGCTGACAGCCAGATACAGTGGGAGCAGTGTGAGCAGTGCCCGTTTCGAGCCAAGTTGAAGCGGAAGTTGCGAGAACACGTGAAAGCAGCGCATTTTCCGAAAAACTAAGTCAAAGATCGTGTCCTTTTTTAGTAACATTTAAAAAAATTGTTTTATTTAAGTTATGCGTTACACGAAATCATGCAAGTTGTTTCATGATCAATAAAAACAAAATTTTTAACATAACCTCAAAAATCGTTTATAGCAAAATTTGCATTTGTAATCACAGTCGTTGCAGATTTTTCATTATTTGTAACTACAACCCTTCTGACTAATGGTTTATTATTAAATTATTACTAATCAAAAAGGAAAATGACCAATAATTAATTAGTTTGAACTTTTGTTGGAGCAGTTTTTGCAGTGATGCCAAGGTGTTTCGTGTTTTGCGTTTGTTCTGCACTCTTCAGTGTGTTGCCACCATTTTAACAAAAAGTATGTTTCGAAGCCGTATTGTTCGCAAATGTAGCACTTGATGGTGGTTTCTTCTTGTGGTTTGGGCGCGTTTGGTGGATGGGGGCTGTGGTGTTTGGCGATGTGGTTTTTCATGAGTGAGGTTAGGTTGGTTTGGACGTTGCAGTGTTTGCAGGAGTATATTTCGAGGGGGGAGTTTTCGCAGCTGAAATGGGGTAGTGTCGAACGGTGGGTTTTGACGTGGTTTGTCATTAGAGACAGGGATGTGGAGGAGAATGGGCAGATTTTGCAATTGTGGACCTTGATGGGGGCGACGTTTTCGCGATATTCCAGAGCAGTCATTTCGGGGTTTCCGGGACTCGACAAGGTTTTATTTACTCATGAAAGTGAAATCGGTTTTGTTGCCAGATTATATTGTAATTGTAAACATAACCTAGAATTTCACGAATGACATTTGGGTTGGGGTACGTTCGCAAATTTTGTTGAGTTTCACGCACATGCCGACCAATCACAAAGCATATTGGCGCTAAATTCTTTTTTTTTTCAATTTACCGATTTTTCCGTTTCTCGATTTTTAATTTTTTGAGTTTTAGTTTTTTAGTTTTACAATTTCAGTTGTATATTTGTTCTTTTTGAAAAACTGAAAAATCAAAAATCTCACAACTGAAAACCCAAATATTTAAAAATCGAAAACATTGAAAAATTGCCAAATCGTAGATATTAAAGAAATGAAAAATTCAAAAATTGAAACATTTTCCAATGTGATTTCGATTTTTCGATACCTCTTTCCAACTTCTCGTTTGTTTCGTTTTTGAGTCTTCAAATAAAAATTTTTCAGTTTGTCAGTTCTTCAACTTTTGAATGTTTCAATTTGCAATTTTCCGAGTTTTCATGTTTTCAATTGTTTTAAGTTTTTCAAGTTTTCAAACTTTTATTTTTCAATTTTTCGATTTTTCCATTATCCGTTTAAGTTTTTCAGTTAAAATTTTATCGATTTTTCAATTTTTAAACTTTGGAATTTTCCAGTTTTTCGAATTTAAAATTTTCCGATTTGCAATTTTTCGATTTTTCAATAATTTTTCAGTTTCTCGATTTTTATTTTTTCGTTTCTTCAGTTTTTCGATTTGAAAATATGTATCTTCGTTTATGGATTTTTAATTTTTTCAAATTTAAATTTTTTAGTGTTTAAGCTTTTTAATTTTTCAGTTTTTCGATTTGAAAATTTTCTGATCTGCAATTTTTCGATTTTTATTTTTTGTTTCTTCAATTTCTTCGTTTTTCGATTTGAAAATATGTATCTTCGTTTATGGATTTTTAATTTTTTCAAATTTAAATTTTTTAGCGTTTAAGCTTTTTAATTTTTCAGTTTTTCGATTTGAAAATTTTCTGATCTGCAATTTTTCGATTTTTATTTTTTGTTTCTTCAATTTTTCAACTACGTATTGAAATCAAAATTTTGTTTTTTTCGATTTTTTTCATTGTCACTGGATCAATTTCGAGTTCTCAAATTAATTTTTTTTTCCATTTTTGAATTTTTCATTTTTTCAAATTCTTAAATTTAATTTTTCAGTGATTAAACTTTTGAATCTTTCAGCTTTTCGAATCCAAAATTTTCCGATTTTTCAGTCTCCTGATCCTTAATTTTTCGATTTGCATTTTTTTGTTTCCTAAAACTTAATTTTTTCAGTTTTTCGATTTTTCAATTTTTATTCATCTTTTTTTTCTTCAGTTTTTCTAGTTTTAGAATTTAAAGTGGATCAATTTTTCGACTTCTGTATTTTTCATTTTTTTAGTTTTTCAAATTTAAATTTTTCAGTGTTGAAACTTTTGAATTTTTCAGCTTTTCGAATTCAAAATTTTTCGATTTTTAGTCTCCTGATCCTTAATTTTTCCATTTGCATTTTTTTGGTTTTTATTTTTCGTTTCTTGAGATTTTTAAGGTTAAACTTACTCGTAAATTTTTCAGTTTTTCGATTTTTATTTATCTTTTTTTTCTTCAGATTTTCGGGTTTTAAAATTTAAATCGTATCATTTTTTTCGATTTTTGGATTTTTCATTTTCTCGGTTTTTCAAATTCAAAATTCAAACTTTTTAGATTTTTCAGTCTTCTGGCCCTTAATTTTTCAATTTTTCAGTTTTTCGATTTGCATTTTTTTTTATTTTGTCGTTTCTTGAGTTTTTCAAGTTTAAAAACTTAAATTTTTCAGTTTTTCGATTTCTATTTTTTGTTTCTTCAATTTTTCAAATACATACATAATGAAATTAAAATTTTAAAATTTTTAGATTTTTCATGATCTCGATTTTGGTTTTTTCAATTTTTTTCATTGTTCGCTTGTTCAATTTTCGAGTTTTCAAATTAAAATTTTGATTTTTCAACTTATGAATTTTTTTAATTTTCGCTTCTATAATTTTACGATTTTGCAATTTTTCATTTCTATAATTTTACAATTTTTCAGTTTTTTGATTTTCCAGTTTTTCAATTTTTTAATTGCACATTTTTCGATTTTTTAACTTTTTAACTATCCAGTTTTTACATTTTACAATTTTCCGAGTTTTCAATATTTTTTGATTTTTTCGATTTATCGTTTTTCAATTTTCGAGTTTTCAAATGAAATTTTTTTTTTATTATTTTTGTTTCTTCAGTCTTGCGAGTTTTAAAATTTAAATTGTATCATTTTTTCCATTTTTGGATTTTTCATTTTTTCAGTTTTTCAAATAAAATTTTTCAGTGACTAAACTTTTGAATTTTTCACCTTTTCGAATTCAAAATTTTTCGATTTTTCAGTCTCCTGATCCTTAATTTTTCGACTTTAATTTTTTTGATTTTTATTTTTTCGTTTCTTGAGTTTTTCAAGTTTAAAAACTTAAATTTTTCAATTTTTCGATTTTTATTAATCTTTTTTTCTTCAGTTTTCCGAGTTTTAAAATTTAAATTGTATCATTTTTTCGCCTTCAGGATTTTTCATTTTTTCAAATTTAAATTTTTCAGTGTTTAAACTTTTGAATTTTTCAGCTTTTCGAATCAAAATTTTTCGATTTTTAGTCTCTTGATCCTTAATTTTTCCATTTGCATTTTTTTGGTTTTTATTTTTTCGTTTCTTGAGTTTTTCAAGTTTAAACTTATTCGAAAATTTTTCACTTTTTCGAAAATTTAAATTGAATCATTTTTTTCGATTTTTGGATTTTTCATTTTCCCAATTTTTCAGCTTTTCGAATTCAAAACTTTTAGATTTTTCAGTCTACTGACCCTCAATTTTCAACTCTAGAATATTTCAAATTTTCGTTTGCAATTTCTAGATTTTCCAAATTTTTTTTCTTTTGATTGATCGATTCTTCAGTTTCTCGGATTTTCAATTTTTCGATTTTTATTGTTTTTCTTCAGTTTTTCAAATTTTCAGATTTGAATTTTTCTCAAATTTACAGATTTAAATTTTTGAATGTTTAAACTCTTGAAGTTTTCAACTTTTCGAATTTAAATTTTTTCGATTTTTCAGTCTCTGGATCCTTAATTTTTCGATTTTTCAGTTTTTCGATTTGCATTTTTTTATTTTTATTTAGATTTTGCGTTATCTCGATTTCGGTTTTTTCAATTATTTTCATTGCTCGCTTGTTCAGTGTTTTCAAATTAAAATTTTGATTTTTCAATTTTTGAATTTTGTATTTCTATAATTTTACGATTTTGTAGTTTTTCATTCCTATACTTTTGCGATTTTACTATTTTTTGTTTGTCCAGTTTTTCACTTTTTTAATTTTATATTTTTCGATTTTTCAACTTTTTAGCTATCCAATTTTTATATTTTTACAATTTTCTGATTTTACAATTTTTCAATTTTTAATTTTTGGTTTTTTCGATTTATCATTTTTCAATTTTCGAGTTTTCAAACTAAAATTTTTTAGTTTTTCAACTGTAGAATATTTCAGTTTTTCTATTTTCAATTTTTTTTTCCTTTTGATTGATCTTGAGTTTCTCGATTTTTAAGTTTTTGGATTTTCACGATTTTTAATTTTTCAAATTTTCAAGAAAAAGTCGAAACAAACTCTGTAAAATCGTAAAATAACGAATTTCGCCACTGTTGCCACACACCCATGAAAAAATTATAAACAGCGTTGCCATAACTCTCACGTCATGAGTTTTTCAAATTAAAATTATCATGTGTCAAATTATTAAACTGTCAATTTATATCAAAACTAACCAACAATTAATTTAATTCAAGTTTCCAAATTGCGAAATAAACAAAAGATAAAGAATACCCGGAATTCGGAAACACACATTATCTCACTTGATAAAAACCGATGATTCACCCCCCCACCAATCCCCAGTAAACCACCACACTCACAACAATGAGCACAGAATCATCCTCCCCAAAACCCGACCCCCCACAAACCCTCCCATGGACCCCCGAGTCCAAACAAATCCACTCCACCCTTCGCGCAGCCCTAAAATCAGCTACCAACCCCGCAGACAAAGCAGCCCTAGAAATCGTCATCAAAAAACTAGAAAAAACAATAGAAACCAAAGTCACTTCCTTGATCCAAGAAGCCGAGCACCTGTCAGCCGCCACCGAGTACCAACAAGCTTACGAAAAGTTCTGCGAAGCCCAGAACCACGCTGTGGACGAAGACGCGCTGATCTTCATCGAATTAAAGAAGAAAGATGCTTTCAATTCCGCCAAAATCAGGCAACTCAATGCTGAAGCGGTCCAACTGTGGTTCGACGATCAGTGCGGTGCGGCTTTAGACAAGTTTGAGGAGGCCTTTAATTTTGTTCACAACGAGTTTCTGTATAATTTGATTGAGAGAAATATTGAGACTGAACGGGTTAATGTTCAAGAAGTATCTCAAGGAGGGCACGAATGGGATGACTAGGGTTGAGCAGACTGTCAATTTTATGGCGAAACTTATGCAGGACGTGGCGGCTTTTAAGGTTAGGTTTGATTAAAAATAAATCAATAATTTGTGTGTATTTGTTTAAATAAAAATTGATATTGTTCATGACGTACCTTGATTGTCAACAATGTGTAGAGCGCCCTCTACGTTTCACTGATGAAGTTCATTGACAGCAGTGATCAGTGATGCCAACCGCAGCCCTCTAATCAAAGCCAACTTTGACTTCTAGTCTTTTAACATGTATTTACACAAACAAAGTGTTATTTTATGGGGGCTTGTTGAACACGTACACCCACACTGTGTCAATTCCGCATCCGTACGTCCGCACTGGTGTCTTATTTGGTAAAGGGAACCGACAAGCTACAACATTGCAGCCATTTTTACACTCCAAGTCAAACTTCTTCTCTAAATCGGCCATCTACAACAACCCGTTTCACCACCCATCACAAAAATTGTCACCTACCATTTGCTCCACCCCAAAAATCACAATATTGTCATAACCGCTAAGATTAAACTTCCACAAGTCCCTGCGATAAAAATCGACCTTATTTCCCAGTCCTTTACGCAAAGCGTCCAATTTAGAGTACAATACGAGCCACAAGTTCAATTCAACCCCATGAGCCACAAAATCACGCCTGGCGGCCTCTAAAAACACACACACAAATATAAAAATGACACAAACACAAACATACCTAGAACAATGCGGCCATCCCCAGACCCCAAATCCAGCAAACTTCCACCCCGACCAGCCAGTGCTACCACAATATTGTCAACTTGGTTTTTCGTCGCGGGTATGTAAGGCAGGCAAAATTTTCGGAAAGCGGGGCTTACGAAGGATGCGCAGACCACGCTGAGTCCCAAGGCGGCGCCCCCTGAAAGCCAAATTCTACTACTTTGTTACAGTTTTGAGGTTATGTTTACCCGTCATTCCGACCAAAATCTTGCCCGCAAGCCCTAATTTCGAGGGTTTTTGGTTATTGTTTGCCGACAAATCGACACCTTCGTCCATTTTTGCAACGACAGTCGTTCTATTTAGTAAATTTTAACTGTATTGTAAAAAGTGAGGTTATGATTTAACCATCGACGTAAATAAAACAGAGTGTTTGTGGTACTACGAACTGGATCACGTTTTTATAAGAGTTTCGGGTTGTTAAGGCAAGAAATTTTTGGTTTTTTTCGATTTATCGTTTTTCAATTTTGTAGTTTTCACATTAAAATTTTTTAGTTTTTCAACTCTAGAATACTTCAATTTTTCGATTTACAATTTTTAGGTTTTTCATTTTTTTCACTTTTTTTCAAATATTCAAATTCAAATTTTTCAGTGTTTAAACTGTTTCAATTTTTCGACACCTTCTTTTTTCATTTTTCCAATTTCTCGCTTGTTCAGTTTTTGAGTTTCCACATAAAAATTTTTCAATTTGTCAATTTTTCAACTTTTGAATTGTTCATTTTGCATTTTTTCGATTTGTTTGATTTTTCAGTTTCTCTTTTCTTAAATTTTTGAAACTTTTATTTTTCAATTTTTAGATTTTACAGTTTTACAATTTTTCGATATTTTATTTTTAGATTTATTTCAGTCTCTTGATCCATAATTTTATAATTTTTTGATTTGCAATCTTTTGATTTTTCAATCTGTACATATTTATTTTAATGTTTCTGTTTTTCAATTTTTCGTTCTCCAGTTTTTGATTTTTTGTGGGTATTATAACTTTTTACTTTTTTCAGTTTTTCGATTTTTCAAATTTAAATTTTTCAATGTTCAAAATTTTGAATTTTTCAATTTTTCCATTTGAAAATATTTTCGATTTTTCTTTTTTTCAATTTTTCAAATTTTCAAATTTAAATTTTTGAGCGTTTCAACTTTTGAATATATCAACTTTTCGAATTTAAAATTTTTTGATTTGTGTTTTTTTTTGTTTTTTTTTTTCATTTTTTGAGTTGTTGGTTTAAAAATTTAAATTTTTCAGTTTTTCGGTTTTAAAATTTTCTGATCTGCAATTTTTCGATTTTTATTTTCTCTTTCTTCTATTTTTCAAGTGAAATCAAAATTTCTAAATTTTAAGATTTTTCAAGTTTTTAAATGAAAATTTTGAATTTTCAACTTTTGAATTTATCAACTTTTCGAATTTAAAATTTTTTGATTTGTGTTTTTTTTTATTTTTTTTTTTTTCATTTTTTGAGTTGTTGGTTTAAAAATTTAAATTTTTCAGTTTTTCGGTTTTAAAATTTTCTGATCTGCAATTTTTCGATTTTTATTTTCTCTTTCTTCTATTTTTCAAGTGAAATCAAAATTTCTAAATTTTAAGATTTTTCAAGTTTTTAAATGAAAATTTTGAATTTTCAACTTTTGAATTTTTTAATTTTTCGTTTCCATAATTTTACGATTTTGCAGTTTTTTGGTTTTCCAGTTTTTCAATTTTTTAATTTTACATTTTTCTATTTTTTAACTTTTTAACTGTCCAATTCTTAGATTTTACAATTTTCGGATTTATCGTTTTTCAACTTTCTTGTTTCCAAATTAAAATTTTTTAGTTTTTCAACTCCAGAACCTTTCAGTTTTTCGGTTTGTAATTTGTAGATTTTTTAAAATTTTTTCATGTGATATTGATCAATTCTTCAGTTTCTCGATTTTTTAATTTTTCGATTTTGTACAATTTTTCCATTTTTGGATTTTTCATTTTTTTTCAAATATTCAAATTTAAATTTTTCGGTGTTAAAACTGTTTCAATTTTCGACACCTTTTTTTTTCCAATTTCTCGTTTGTTCAGTTTTCGAGTTTTCAAATAAAAATTTTTCAATTTGTCAATTTTTTAACTTTTGAATTTTTCAATTTGCAATTTTCCGAATTGTTCGATTTTTCAATTTCTCGTTTCTTAAATTTTTGAAACTTTTATTTTTCAATTTTTAGATTTTTCAGTTTTACAATTTTTCGATATTTTATTTTTAGATTTATTTCAGTCTCTTGATCCATAATTTTATAATTTTTTGATTTGCAATGTTTTAATTTTTCAATCTGTACATATTTATTTTAATTTTTCTGTTTTTCAATTTTTCGTTCTCCAGTTTTTGATTTTTTGTGGGTATTATAACTTTTTACTTTTTTCGACTTTCAAATTTAAATTTTTCAATGTTCAAAATTTTGAATTTTTCAATTTTTCCATTTGAAAATATTTTCGATTTTTGGATTTTTCCTTTTTTCAATTTTTCTAATTTTCAAATTTAAATTTTTGAGCGTTTCAACTTTTGAATTTATCAACTTTTCGAATTTAAAATGTTTTGATTTGTGTTTTTTTTTATTTTTTTTTTCATTTTTTGAGTTGTTAGTTTAAAAATTTAAATTTTTCAGTTTTTCGGTTTTAAAATTTTCTGATCTGCAATTTTTCGATTTTTATTTTCTCTTTCTTCTATTTTTCAAGTGAAATTAAAATTTTTAAATTTTTAGATTTTTCAAGTTTTTAAATTAAAATTTTGATTTTTCAACTTTTAAATTTTTTAATTTTTCGTTTCCATAATTTTACGATTTTGCAGTTTTTTGGTTTTCCAGTTTTTCTATTTTTTAACTTTTTAACTGTCCAATTTTTAGATTTTACAATTTTCGGATTTATCGTTTTTCAATTTTCTTGTTTCCAAATTAAAAGTTTTTAGTTTTTCAACTCCAGAACCTTTCAGTTTTTCGGTTTGTAAATTGTAGATTTTTCAAAATTTTTTCATCTGATATTGATCAATTCTTCAGTTTCTCGATTTTTTAATTTTTCGATTTTGTACAATTTTTTCCATTTTTGGATTTTTCATTTTTTTTAAATATTCAAATTTAAATTTTTCGGTGTTAAAACTGTTTCAATTTTCCGACAGCTTCTTTTTTTATTTTTCCAATTTCTCGTTTGTTCAGTTTTCGAGATTTCAAATAAAAATTTTTCAATTTGTCAATTTTTCAACTTTTGAATTTTTCAATTTGCAATTTTCCGAATTGTTCGATTTTTCAATATCTCGTTTCTTAAGTTTTCAAACTTTTATTTTTCAATTTTTAGATTTTACAGTTCTACAATTTTTTGATATTTTATTTTTAGTTTTACGATTTGCAATTTTTTAATTTTTAGATATTTTCAGATTTCATTATTTCAGTCTCTTGATCCGTAATTTTTTGGTTTGCAGTTTTTCGATTTTTCGATCTGTATATATTTTGATTTTTCTATTTTTCGATTTTTCGTTCTGCAGTTTTTGAATTTTTTTTTGGGTATTTTAAATTTTTGCTTTTTTCAATTTTTAGATTTTTCCATTCTTCGTTTTAAGTTTTTCAGTTTAAAATTTTTCAATATTTAAACTTTTGAATTTTTCAATTTTTCGATTTGAAAATATTTTGGATTTTTGGACTTTTCATTTTTTCAGTTTTTTCAAATTTTCAAATGTAAATTTGAAAAAAATTGAATTTTTCAACTTTTCGAATTTAAAATTTTTCGATTTGTATTTTTTTATTTTTATTTTTTCATTTCTGGAGTTCTTATTTATTTTTTTCCTTCAATTTTTTTTCTTTAAATTTTTCCTTATCACGATTTTCGTTTATTTGATTTTGTTCAGTTTTCGAGGTTTCAACTTTTGAATTTTGTAATTTTCGTTTCTATAATTTTACAATTTTGCAATTTTTTGATTTTCCAATTTTACACTTTTTTAACTTTTTAACTATCCAATTTTTATGTTCTACAATTTTCCGATTTGATAATACTTCAAATTTTAATTTTTGGTTTTTCGACTTACCGTTTTTCAATTTTTTAGTTATCAAATTAATTTTTTTTTAGTTTTTCAACTCTAGAATGCTTCAATTTTTCGGTTTCTAAGTTGAAGATTTTTCTAATTTTTTTGTTTTGATTGATCGATTTTTTAGTTTTTCGATTTTTATTGTTATTCTTCATTTTTGCGAGTTTTAAAATTTAAATTGTACCATTTTTTCGATTTTTGGGTTTTTAATTTTTTCAGTTTTTCAAATTTTCAAATGTAAATTTTTTAGTGTTTAAACTTTTGAATTTTTCAGTCTCCTGATCCTTTCCGTGAAAATTTTTGGTTTTTTCGTTTTATCGTGTTTCAATTTTCGAGTTTACAAATTAAATTTTTTTGGTTATTCAATTCTAGAATATTTCAATTTTTCGATTTGCAATTTGTAGATTTTTCAAATTTTTTTTTCTTTTGGTTGATTCTTCAGTTTCTCGATTTTTCAGTTTTTCCATTTTTTTTTTCAGTGTTACGAGTTTTAAAATTTAAATTTCGATTTTTGGATTTTTCGTTTTTCCAAATTTAAATTTTTTAGTGTTTCAACTTTTGAATTTTTCAGCTTTTCGAATTTGAAATTTTTCGGTTTTTCAGTCTCCTGATCCTTAATTTTTCGATTTTTCAGTTTCTCGATTTGCAGTTTTTTGATTTTTTTTTCGTTTCTTGAGTTTTTCAAGTTTAAAAGCTTAAATTTTTCAGTTTTTCGCTTTTACGATTGTGCAATTTTTTGATTTTCCAATTTTTTACGCTTTTTTACCTTTTTAACTATCCAATTTTTATAGTATACAATTTTCCGATTTTATAATATTTCAAATTTTAATTTTTGGTTTTTCGTTTTACCGTTTTTCAATTTTCTGGTTTTCAAATTAAGTTTTTCTAGTTTTCAAATTAAATTTTTTTAGTTTTTGAATTCTAGAATATTTCAATTTTTCGATTTTTATTTTTATTCTAGAGTTTTTCGAGTTTTAAAATTTAAAATGATCATTTTTTCGATTTTTGGATTTTTCATTTTTTCAGTTTTTCAAAATTTCAAATTTAAAATATTCAGTGTTTAAAGTTTTGAATTTTTCAGTCTCCTCATCCTTTCCGTGGAAATTTTTGTTTTTTTCATTTTATCGTTTTTTAATTTTCGAGTTTTCAAATTAAAATTTTTTAGTTATTCAATTCTAGAATATTTCAATTTTTCGATTTGCAATTTGTAGATTTTTCAAATATTTTTTTTCTTTTGATTGATTCTGCAGTTTCTCGATTTTTCAGTTTTTCCATTTTTTTTTTCAGTTTTTCGAGTTTTAAAATTTAAATTTCGATTTTTGGATTTTTCGTTTTTTCAAATTAAAATTTTGTGTGCTTCAACTTCTGAATTTTTCAGCTTTCCGAATTTAAAATTTTTCGGTTTTTCAGTCTCTTTTGAATTTTTCAGTCTCCTGTGATCCTTTCCGTGGAAATTTTTGTTTTTTTCATTTT